GCTCTTCCCATCGCTTTCCAGTGCTATGACCTGTTTTTGTCTGACACGTTTCTCATTAACTCTTTGTCAAATCACCAGGAAGCCTGCTTAATTGCGGGCAGAGTGCTGAATTTATGAGTTCATCTAGGCTTCATGTCTACACATTGACAGAGGTGTTTCTCTGGATGGAGTCTTTTTCTCTTCATTTCGTGGCAAGAATGGACTTTCTGTTTCAGTTACTTCTGAAAGTCATAAATTGCAGCAGTCCCTCCCTCCCCTTTATTTAAAAGAAACACAACAAAACTTCATGGCAACAGTTTATTGCTCTAAATCAGCTCGTGGGTCATTAAAGCAAAAAGGGGGGAGAAAAAAAAAAGGGAAAAATCTCCAACTCCTGCCAAATAAAATGCGCACATCAGCCAAGCTGTCAGAGGCAGATCCTGCGACCATGGGATGAGAAGGTTTATTACACTTTGGGCTTCTGGGGAGGGATGTTATAGCAACAGGACGCTGGGTCACTGATGGCAAACTCCTGGTTGCTCCGTTTCTCCATGCACACTAGGAATCCATTAAGCGACCTGACGACAGATCCGCAGGCATTCCAGCCCCTCGCACACCTCTGCCGGGGCCAGGCCTTGGACGCTGCCCACGAGAACGTGAAAGAAACAACCCAGCAGAGAGCCCGCAAATTAGAGGAGCAGGAAACCTCAAATGATGTGCAAAAAAAATTGTAAACGTTCAGGCGAATTTTTCCATAACTTCTGCTCCATAACTCAGCATTTCTGATGTTAATAAATTACGGAGCGGAGCCTTTGCGAGATCAATGAGGGCTTTTGGATCCAAATCCCGAGCGCTGCGCAGCAGACGGCAGATGAAGCTGCAAAGTGAGTCCTGGAACATGACAACAATTTCCTTTTGGCTGGACGGGGATGAGTCTGAACCGCAACCACAGCCGGCGTTCTGGCTCTGGATCCCAAATCCCTGTCTCTACAGTGGGCCAGTTAAACCCCTGTAATCCCAGGGAACATGAAGGTGCGTTTGTTTGGAGCAGATAGCCTGGAGAGGAGGAGGATGGGGGCTTTGGAGCAGGGAGGAGAGAGTGTTCTGTGGAAACACAGGGAACGACTCCCTGAGACAAAGTCATGGCACTGTTACTGGCAGGGCAGAGGAGGGGGATTGGGAGTTCTCAGATGAACTGTTGGATTGGCAGACAAAAGTCCTGGGAGGTGCTGTGGGTGAATAAATAAAGCCTGAACTCACCATCTGAAGCAGAGGGAGAAAAGATGAACTTAGTTTTTGGCATATTCAGAAAAAAAAAAAAAAGTGGGGAGAAATCCATGATGGGGAGGGTGGGGTCAAATGGAAGAGTGGTCAGGGGGAGATGAGGCAGAGGAAGGGCTCCCACAATAATTAACTCTCTGAGCCCTCAGGCCACAGTCCAGATGAGAGTTTGCTTTTCCAGCACATCCCAAGTGCACATGGCTGTCCCTGCCCACCCGGGGTTTAACGTGGGGACAAGGTAAGAGGGACAGAATGTGTTCCTGTAGGGAGCCCAGCTCTGTGGGGCAGGGATGCTGTGCCTCAGGTCCGAGGAGATCGGGGGGTGAAGAGCAGTGCCCCAAACTGACTGGAATATCAACACATTCTGGTTATAGACTAGCAAAACCAGTGCCAATTTTTAAGTATAATTTTTTTTTTTCCTCCCATATCTCCACACCTCTTTTCCCCTCTCCTCTCCCTCTGACAACTTCTTTTAATGTCTGAGCCAAATTACCCACTGGAGAGACCTCTCCACTGCCTCACTGGTGCAGAGCCAGCCTGAGCACAGAGCACAAGCAGAACTGCAACTGTTCCATTTCAGCTCCACCAAGTCCCAGTCCTGCTAATTACACGTGATCTTCTCTTTGGTTTTTAACTCCTGTGACATCTCTTTTTTTGCTGTTGGTGGTAAATACCTGATGTCAGCCTTTACCTGTCCAGGGAACAGGGATATCTGTGAGTGGATGGGCTTATGATTAAAGCTGCTGCTAAGTCCTGGGTAAGGATGGCCTTTAGTTCTGGTCTTAGCTGTGAACAACCAGCTTTACTGGAGCTGCAGAGGAGGGTTGTGGTGAGTGCAGCCCCACTCCAGTAGCTGTGTGGAGCTGAGGTTTCCAGAAGTTTACTGCAGGGTGAATCCATCTGTGCTTCCATCTGGGACCTCCAATTTACCCACAGCCAGGGGGGTGGGTAAAATTCAGAAAAATGAATTTTGCAGGAGCATTTTCAGATTGAAAATCTTTTTTTTTTTTTTTAATTACTGACGATGACTTGTAAGCAGTTGGTTTGCACAATTTCTCCAGAGGAAATTTCTGATTTCCTTCTGGTCTCAGCTGGAAGAAGATGTGGTAAAAGGTTTCAGCTTGTTTTTCTGGAGTTTTTTAAGGTGGGAGGAAGAGAGACTTCAGAATATTATTCTGTGTGGGCACGCATTTGACAGAGGAAAAAATAGATACTGCAGATAGGGATTGGTGATGGCTTTTGGATTTCTCAGTGTTTTTAAAACTGTGAAATAATCTTGACCCAGAACATCAGCCAGGAGTGTGAGCGTGTGAACTTGATCTTTAATTAGAGGTGTTGGCCACGGAGAGCTGAGCTCACCCCGGAGCACCCTTTGCTCAGGGACTGGTCCTGCAGCACTTTGAGAGCAGCTGATCACCCCCTTTATTTTGTTTTCAAAGGGGCCTCAGTGATACCAGCAGAGGCATCACATTTGGTGAGGGGTGGCTGTTTGCAGGGTCCCCTCCAGTGCCACTGCCGGGCCTGGGGCCGTGGGGCTGGGTTCTATTTGTGGAGTGCAGTGAGTGTGTGTGAAAAACAGGAGCTCAGGTTCTCAGGGTTTCGCGCAACCTCTTTTTTTCTCGTTTTGATCTGTCAGTTTTCACACCCCCAGCTTGGGTTTTATTCCCCCACACAGATAAAACCACAGTTTCAGGTGATTTCGAGCCACGGCAGAACCTCCTCCTGAAGCAGAGCTGGCCCTGAAGCCTGAGCAGGGCCCTGCAAAGTGAATTTGAGACGAATTCTGAGCTTTCCTTGAGCTGTCTGCCCGTGGCAGGGGGTAGGAACTAGGTGATCCTGGAGGTCCCTTCCCACCCAAACCCATCTGTGATTCTGCAATCTGAGTGTCCTCATCAAACAATTCTAGAAGATGAAAGAGTGTGTCTGTAAGGTACAGCTGTGATATAAAACAGCCTATTTGTGTAGTCCTGGAGTTTTCCACATTGCGTTCCCAGAGTGACTGAACAGCACCAGTTGCTGCCATATAAATTAATGGCACTGGGAGGTTTGTGGGCTGCTGTTTACCCAAACCTTGGAAAACTGTTGAGTGGCTTCAGACCAGCTGAGCATCGATGATCCACCTCATTCTGGTTTCCAGATAATATCCCTGGAAGCTTTTATCACTTTCTGATCAGGTGTGTCCCCACTCCTGCCCCTCGAGGTGCTGGTTTGGCTGGTCCACTTAATTTGGGGTCAGTAAGGCCGAGGAAGCACTTTAATCTCAACAGCTTTCCTGGAATTCCCTGAGATAAAACAGAAGTTATGGTTATTTTAGCTTGAATTAGTAGAGTCTTTCAACCCATGTTACGAACACTTTTTTGTTTGGTTTTTTTTGTTTGTTTTGTTTTGTTTTGTTTGCAAAGTCCAAACAACCTCCGTGACCTTCAGTGCTCCCAGGCAGGGGATGCAGACACTGAGCACACACAGGTTGTTTCCTGCCCCAGTTCTCTCCCAAACACACGTTTGGGGAGGAAATGCAGGATTTCAGTGCCTCTCAGTGCCATGTTTGATTAGGAAGGAAGAAGGCAAATAGTAATGGTGGGAAGGGGTTAGTGCAGGAGGTGAGGGACCAGGGGATGTGTGCAGGGAGGTGGGAGCTTTCCTGGTGATGCTGTGGCAGGTCCTACAGTCCTGGGAGTTCAGGGCTGGGATTGAGAGTCTCAACTGGCAACAGCCCCAGAGATTTCTCAGCCCAGCCTTAGACTCGACTTGTTGCTGTCATCACTGTGTTTTAATTTTTCCTTTCCTTTGTTTTCCTACCTTTTCTTTTTTTTTTTTCCTCTGTCTTGAAATAGATGGGAAAGTATTATCGTATCCCATGAGATTCTGAGAGAATTAATTGCTAGTAAAAGCATGTTAAGAGCTTTTGATGACTGAAGTAATTTGCACTGACACAGGGTCTGGTCAGGGTGGAGGGAAATCTAAGTCTAAGGGAAAAAGGAGTTTCTGTAACAAGGAGGCCCACTTAGGAGCAGGACAGGGTTTTGCCATGCTTGGGCTCAAAGGCCTTTTCCTTGTTTTCAGAGTGTCCTGGGTCATTTTTTAAAGGTGCTTTTTTATGTGAGTTGCAAACTGGATCATCCCAAACATCAGCTGGGAATGCTGAGCATCTCCTCTGGTTCTGGCACTAAACTTCACTGTCTTAAGAGGGAAGAAGTCTCTTCCTGTTCAGCCACACAGACGTGGTCAGTGAATGTCTCAGGCTGTACTGTGATAAATGAAAGTTTCATTTGGTAAAGCATTTTTTAAAACACCATTTCCCAGCGCTGTGGAAAGTGACCTGTTTTGAAAGTTTGTGGAAACATTTGTAATTAAAAATGGTCCTGCATGAAAGGATAAAATAGATAAGGTGAAGATGGAGCAGTTTAAGGACTTTGTCATTAAAATCAATACAGTTTGGAGGAGTTGCCTGCTTTGGTTCCTTGAACTGGTGTGGAGACAGAGCTGTGTGTTTATCTCCAGCTGTGGTCCTGATCCTGTTACTCATGGACCACTCTGATGTGTGTCTTTGGAGGTTGTGCCAACAGGGAATTTCAGATTATGGCTGAGAGCTGGTTTTACTCTTGCCATCTCTCTGTTAACCATGTGTATCATCCAGTGTTCTCTATTTCCTGCCTTGAAAAGAGTTTTCCCTCCTTTCCTCTGTGCAGAGCTGCCATTTGGTACCAGCTGACCTGTGCCTTTCTCCTGTTGTCCTGCAGATTGCTGACGAGCTGGGAAATGAGAAGTTCTGTGTGGATGCTGGCCAGGGTGGGGCTGGGAACTGGCTGAAGTACATCCGTGTGTCCTGTTCCTGCGATGAGCAGAACCTGGCTGTGTGCCACGTCAACGAGCAGGTAACGACCCTGCAGCACTGCCCGCCCTCCCCAGGGTCTGGATGGCTCGGCCAGAGCGTGGTGTGGGGTGGCAGTGCTGAATGGAGCCAGCCAAGGGACTGATCTGCTCAGCAGCTCCGCTGTGGTGTCCCTGGGACCCCCAGAGTTGGGATCTCCCAGTGCCCCACTCCTTTGGTGGTGAAGCAGGTGATGTGAAACACGGGTGATGGTGACAAAACACAGTGGGATGGGTGGAAAACAGCGTTGGTGGTTCGTGGCCAGGGGAACTGTGGGCAGGGAGGGGTGGGGAGCACAATCCAGGCTGGAAACTCAGTCCTTGTCTGCCTTTAGGAGGAAGGGGAGAGATGGTTTGGGAGTCTGCTGAGGAGGAGGGCAAGTGGAACCCTTGTAGGCAGGTGACAGCAGTGCTGGTCGAGCAGTCCCTGGGCAGGGGGTGAGTGAGGGGTGTTACATGGAATTAATAGGATTTTGATGAGGTTTGCTAATGTTTGCAGAGTTCTCTGAAGCTTAAACCCCAAAAATGGATTCAAGATGAGGAATCCACGTGGGGAGTTTCACAAACCCCCACTCAAGTACAACTCAAATACAAGTTACTGTTTCAGACTTGACTTAGATGAGAAATACTGTCCTACTGCTGTTACCTGTCAGCAAACAGGAGGCAGATTTGGATCTGTGAAGGACTTTTAAGGATGTTATCAGCTGCTCTGGGCTTTCATCAAACTCAGTGAATTCATAACTCCCAAGTGGCCAAGGTGCCTTTTGAATATAACCCCCACAATACGAGAGTATTTGAATTCTTAAAGTCTCAAAATAAAATTTCTAGTGAAGTGATTGACAGCAGAATCTGGACTGTTGAATGATCCCCCAGTTACAGATTATAATGTATTTAAAATGTATTTCTAGTTAGAAAGAGATTAATTGAGACATTTCATTAACTATTTTTCAATTGTGAAGCCAATTTTCCCAGGTAGAATAATATTAGCCCATTTTCTTTATATTTGTTCAGGCTGAATAGGTATTTGAAAAGAATAGAAGATCCTTGATTGACTGAGATAATTGTGATTCTGAAGGAGGACTGCAAAAAAATGGTAGAAAAATGATACGATGTACTAAACGTGTCTGGAAAATGTTTTATTTTTTTCCTGTTGTTGCTGCTGCCTTCACGAGGCAAATACCTGAGCAGTTCAGGAGTCTGTAATATTAAACAGAATCTGTGTGTTAAATAGAATAGCCTGAGCTGGCTTCCAGGGCCATAGCTGCAGCTTTTATTTGGGATGCAGATACTGGGGGGAGAAAGGAGTAGCAGGGGATGGAGAACATCGGGCCTGTGTTTCATGAGCCGGTGTCAGCTGAGCGTGCTTTGCAGGGGTTTTGTGTGTGCCTGACACACGTGGTCGGTGCCTCCGCTCAGGATTCCCGAGCACATAATCCACTGCCCTGAAGAAGAGGAAATACAGAGCAATGTGGCTCAGCTGAAACAAAGGGGAGGCGATTCCAAAGGAGGAAAACACGGGAACAAAGGCGGAATGTGCGGCCCCGTTGTGGCTGAGCGTGCACAAGGCCAAACTTGTCCCTGTCCGCTCCTCCCGGCCGTGGGGACGGCGCTGGCAGTGGGAGAGCAGGAGGTACAAACCCTCCCCGGCTGCTGGAGTTAATTATTTGTGAGACGAGGACGTAAAGAACCGTTTTTTGGCTGGTTTTGGGTTCTTGAGCTGCTCTGCTGCAGCTGATGCCTTTGGTGGGGGGGTTGATCTTTAGGTAAATAGAGCAGCTCTTTTCTCCCCTCTCTGGTGCCCTTTTCCCCCCAGACGTGTGGCTGTGACGGAGCTCAGATAAATCACAGCTGTACCAGCAGGTAAACAGGATGGTTCCTGTGGAGGGTCCTAATTAGGGAGGTGGTCCTGGGACGGGCTTTTCTCACCCACCACGTTTCGTGTCCGTCCCTGGCACTGGGGATGGTGGAACGTCCCCGTGTTGTCCCCGCGCTCCGGCTGCTCCTGAACGCTTTTCCATCCAGCTCCGATGATGTGGTGCTGGGCTCTGAGTGATATCAGCCTCAGAGTGAGGTGGTTGTGGTTCTGCAGCACCAATGTTTCAGTGTTTGGACCAAATTGCTCGGTTTTATCTGCTAACTGCTGCAGGCAGAGCCAGCTTTCTGCTGCCCCGAGCTCACAGCCACAGCAGCAGCTACACAGCAGATCCGTGTGTCAGCCCAGACTGCAAAAGGATTCCTCTGGCTTATTTTTACCTTCCTTTTTTTATTACTTTCCTTTGGTTTCTTCTCTCTTCAGTGCCCCCAGAATAATTTTGATAAAAATAAAGAAATTGAGTATTTTCACTCATCCGTGAGAGCACTACCAAGCCCTAGTTATCCTGTTAACTATTTAGTGTTAAATTAAACTGGTAATTAGAAGAGTTGCCTATTCCGTGGTGGGAACTAAGAAATTATCATGTTTGGAACTTTTCTATAAACAACCATAATTGATTTATGAATGTAAATCTTTTGCTGGTTTAGTAAATCTGAGCTTTTTCAGTGCACAGCAAATATAAAAGGAAAGGAAACACAGCAGTGGTTTTAATGAATCCAGACCATCAGTAACACGATTGCAAGATGAAGTTAATTATTATAATGAAATGTTTGATGAAATTAATGTGACTCCAGCAGAATCCAGCTTTTCCCTGATCATTAATGAAGCTTGTCCTATATTTCTGGAAAGACTGCAGCAGACGTTTTTAAATACAAGGAGCTACTTTGTTCTGAGAACAAACAGGAGAGGAAAAGGAGCTAAAGGGTGACACAGGGGCAGTGTCAGCCTTTGGCAGGGTAATTCTGAAGGATTTTTCAGTGTAAAATTAGTGAGTGTATCTATGAACTAGATGGATCTTTTAGACCATGGTTTGTGTTTCAGTGCTGGTTTGGGTTTGGGTAACCAGCTGCAAGAGAAATGTCTGTTAATAGCAATTTTATTTTTTACTTTTTTCTCTTAGCTTGGGTCATCCTGAGTCCTGTTTTTCTGACTCAGCCCTGAGCTCTGGGCTCACTCCTAGGCTGCCCTTTGCTTTTTTTCCAGGCAGTTTTCCCATTAAGCTCAATGTGGTTTGGTCCTGGGAAAAGCTTTTCTTGTTGGACAAGCAGTTGAAGTGCAAATGAAAAAGATAATGAGAAAACGGTGAATTTTATACAACTTTTGGTTTGCAGTGGAATCCACAGAAATTAACTCTCCCACCCCTGTGGAGCAGGGCAGTGGGATCTCTCAGAACTGTGTTCACCTGGGCACGGGGCAGTGTCACTGTCAGCCTGTGCTGCTCGGGGGTTCCCACCCGAGGGTCTCTCAGCTGCCTTCGGCACCAGGTCCCTCTTTGGGGCTCCGAGCTGGGTGGGGACAGAGGTGTCTGCTGTGGAAGAACTGCTTGCAAACCAGCAGGGAAACAGCGATGGAATTACACTAAGGGTTCTGGCAAGCGCAGGGATGGGTTTCTGTGCACTTTGGGACATCTTATCAATAGCAAGCAGTTGGACTTCATTTCTCATCCCAAACATTTGTGTTTGTGGCCGTGTCACTGCTTGGAAACTCTCGTTTTTCCCCGGCCTGCCCTGCCGGGCAGTGCTGCATGTGGGCGCACAGAGACCGAGATTTCGGGGAGTCGTGGGGAGGTGCAGGGCGTGCTGAGGAGGGGATGGGGGGAGGCAGCCGGGCACGGCGAAGAGCCGGTGCGGGCCGGGATGTCAGAGCTGTACCGGAGCTCCCGGTAAGGGCCGCCCCGCAGCACGCGGGGGCCGCGACACCGGGCCATGGGGGCGGTTGTGTCTCCGTCCGCCCCGGGCAGCGCTTGGAGCTGCTGCGGAGACACGGCCCGGCTGCCCTTCCCTCCCCTCCCCTTCCTTTCCCCTTCCCTGCCCTCCCTGCGACCGGGCCCGTCCGCCGGCACTGGAGGAGCGGAGCGGCCGAAGGGACAGGAGCGACAGGTCAGGCGGCCCCCGCCCCGTCCATCCCCGTCCATCCCCGTCCAGCCCGGCCCGGCCCGGCCCGGCCCGAGCCGCTCGCAGTGCCCGGGGCCGGCACCGAGGGGACCCCGCGGGGGGACCGGGACCGGGCGGGGCCGGAGCGGGGCCGGGAACGGGCGGCGTCTGCCACCTGCTGGGGCGGGCGGGGGCATCGCTCCCGATCCCGATCCCCTCCCGATCCCGCTCCCCATCTCGGTCCCAGTACCGGCGGCTGCCGGGAGCGCGCCCCGCCGGCAAGTTTTGCTCGCTGTGTCCCGGGGAGAGGTGGGAATGCCGGTGGCGCCGGCGGGAGAGCCCGCGCCATCCCCTCGGGAGCGGGGCCGGGGCGGCGGGAGGGGCGGCGGAGCGGGCGCGTTATCCCGGAGCGGTGCCCGCGGGATGGAGAACGTGGAGCTGCGGGAGCACGTGTGTGACCCTGCAGGGACTGGCGGATCGCGGGCCGCGCTGGTGCTCGGTGTAAGGCGGGCGGGTCTGTCGGGAGTGTCCCGAGCTCGGTGCGGAGGGCAAGTTCTGAGCTCCGCTGACTGAGCTCCCCGGTCCCGCCGCTCCGAGCGCACGCTCTGGGAGCGATGGATGCTCCGTGTCCCTGCAGCTCCCTGCAATCGCATCCATCTCCGGGACAGGGAGGACGATTAGGGAGCAGCCCGGGCCACCCTTGTGCCAGGGCCTCGCACTCCGTGCCGAGGAGGGAGGGGAGGGGACTCTGGGAAGGAAAAATCATCATAATTGTGTTGGCACAATTATTGCAGCCCAGGCAGGACTTCAGGAGTTTTGTGTCTTTCTTCTCCATAAACACAAGCTGGCAGAGACTGAGTGGCAGCAAGTTTAGGAACTCGTTCTGGGTAAACTGTAGTTGTTATCCTGAAAAAATAATTTCTTGCACTGCTGTTGAAGGCAGTGCTAAGGAAACTTGGCACTGATAATTGTTATCAGGTGAATTCTTGTGGTATTGTGTTAGAAGAGAACAGGGTCCAGTGTACTCTAAAAATCTGGGAAACGTGGAAGACACCAAATCTCCTCAGCACAAGAGAGACATGGAGCTCCTGGAGCAGGTCCAGTGGAGGCTACGAGGAGGATTAAGGGACTGGAGCATCTCTCTTACAGCTAATCCACTCTCAGCCACTCTTCTTCCCCAGGAATTCCTGCCATTTTGTCGGAAGGAATGAGGCCATTGGGGTCCACTCATGTGTGACCCACCTGTCGCTGGACCTGCTGCCCTGGTTTCTGTGGGGTTTGGGGGTAGAACAGTAAAGTTCAGCGTGTGGCATGTCTAAAAACATACACTATGTTAGTGCAGTGTTACATGTCACTGCACCTTGGATGAAGGAGTTTTCTTTCTCACTGGAATATTTCCTAAGCATCCTTGGAGTGCCAGAATTCATTCTGGTTCAGGAAACCTGTGTAAAGCTTTCTGTGAAGAAGTGATAATTCAGCTCTAATCATCAGGCCAGTTTCAGTTCGGGGAACAGAGACTTAAACATGTCGGTTCCATCAGTTTAACCTTCCCTTCGCTGTAACAAACACACTGAGCTTAGAGGAGGGGGGAAAACAATGGGAAGATTTTGTGTGATTTGAAGGAGAGAGGCTGTTACCCGAAATATTTCCCTATTGTCCGAGCCTTGTGAAGTGCTGACACCCATAGAGTCAAATAAAGGCAGAAAAACGAGCTCTCAGCAGCAACCATCCCAAATCAAGTGACAGCCTCCCCTACGAGCTGGAATAATTTGAGTTATTGGTTAAAATGTAAAATGCAAGTTCTTTGCATATTTAACGTGTCTCTCAATTTTTGTTTCTGATTCCCAGATCTACTATAAAGTTATTAAAGAAATTGAGCCGGGAGAAGAGCTCTTGGTGTGTCTGAAGGAAGGTGGTTATTCCCTTGGGAACATGGCTCCCAGCATGGAAGGTAAGGCCTCCACAGGACCTTTTGCACCTCTCTCCAGCACACCCAGGAGTGCTGAGAACCTCAGTGAGTGCTGAGCTGGGACAAAACCTGATCCAGTACCTCCCCCTTCTGTCGCTGTTGGGATTTTATGCTCATTTTCCCTCTTTCCCTGGTGAGAGGGACTGTCTAAGTCCACGATAGTGAGTTTTTATTAAACTCAGGACGTGCAGCAGACTAATTTTCCCCTTCCCTGTGAGGAACATTGTGGTTTTGAATGTGATTGGAGGTGCCTTTTCCATCCCCAGGGTCACCATGTTTCTTTAGGTGTAATAAAAATGGGCCCAACCTTTCCAAGGCTTTGGAGTACCTGGAAAAGGGGGATCCAGGCAGAGGGTGGAAGAGTCATCCCTAGAATTATTATTGCTGGGATATCAACACCTCACCTGCTCTTGCACAGTCGACTAATTTCTATAAATATATTCTCATTTACCAGTTGTGTTTAAACTATTAGTTGGAAATACTGTTCTGTACATTTAATGACTGAAATTCGAGTTCTCTCATCTGGGCATGTCACAGTGCATTGATTTTCTCTTACCTGGATATGACTATAATTTCAGATTCAAATTTGCAGTGAAATCCTTTACAAGTGTGCATAGGATATGCACAATTAGTTTCAAATATTTCTGGAAAACAGGATAGTTTGAGGATTTGTGCTGCTGGAAGCTCGTTTGCTGAAGGGCTGGGGGTGAAATGTGGTAGCTGCTGCCTCACTCATGTCAAATTTGGGATTATTTTTTTTTTTACTGTTTCCTCCTCCTCCCTCCCCCCCGAAAAGTTAATAATTTTCTCGAGGCCGACACACAGAGATGAATAATTTCTGTGCCCTTTTTTTTGGTGTCAGGGAGAAATCAGGATGAAAACTCACCGCTGTTCTGCATTTCAGTTTCTCACAGGCTTTTATGTGAGCAGGCAAAAAGTGCTCCTTGTTTTCCATCTCTGTCATTATGGAACATTTATCTGTATCTTCCTGGTAACGTCTAGTGCTTTTGCCGCATAATTGCTGTCAAATTACACCAGGCCAACATTAAATATTTGACTCCTTAACACTTTTTACTTTCAGCAGGGCTATCTTCCTGCTGCCTCGCAGCCCCAGTTCGCTTCGGAATTAACGGGAGAGAAAATGCAAAATTGTTCCACACAAAGATAATTATCATAAAAATCTTTTCTCCCAACCCCAGCCAAACACAGCAGACCCCTTATCACTGCAGGAATTTTGAGTAGGGCACTTGAACTCCTTTGAGACTCGAGTCTGGTAGATTAGCATGTAGATGCCACATAATTGTGTTCCCCTTGGTTTCTCTGAAAGCTATTAGGCACTGATTTATTTTTCTGTTACATTCCTGCTTTGTCCTGAGTGTTACTGATGGAACTTCAGATAGGCACATATAACCACAGATTTGACAAACAAGACACAGAGAACAGGCAGCAATTTCTGTGTGACTGGGTTGTTCTTTTCTTTTCAGCCCCTTCTCCCTGTCAGACACCAAAGCAGTTACCTTTCTGAAGGGCAGTATTTTCTATTTTCATTTGTGATGCTTAAAGAAAGGGGAAAACTTTAATGAGAACTTGTTTTGAAGGGCAACCTTTTTATTTTTGGTACTTAGAGAAGGAAAAAAAGAAACCCTTTAATGAACCTGAAGTCTGCAAACTGGGTGTCTCATAGAGACACAGAATGGGTACCAGGTCCCAGCTCAGCCCCGAGCCTCTGGGGTGATTTAGGTTTCAGTTTTGCAGGGGGATGGTCTGCCCCTTAGTCTTCAGGTCAGCTCCTTTCCCTGCAGGGTATTTATTATGAAGTCTGGTCTCTAACCTGCTAAAATTCGGGAGTGGGAATGCCAAGGGAATGGGTGTTGGATATGGATATATGAGCATAGAATTATGGAATGGTTTGGGTTGGAGGGGACCTTAAAGATCACCCAGTGCCAACCCCTGCCCTGGGCAGGGACACCTTCCACCAGCCCAGGTTGCTCCAAGCCCCGTCCAACCTGGCCTTGGACACTTCCAGGGATGGGGCAGCCACAGCTTCTCTGGGCACCCTGTGCCAGGGCCTGCCCACCCTCAGCTGCTGTACCAGCCCATCAGTTCTTCCTCTCCTGAACCTGTCTGAGCATCCAAATGGTATTTACAGCCGCTGGCAACATGGATAACATGTGGCAACAAGGTTTTTCGTCCTATTTTTGCCAGTTCTCTGGTTCTTCTTTCAATGCAGATTTCTTTTTTCCAAACCCAAATATTCTGAAGCACATGCACTGCTTTTCCTGTCCTCCATCTTTTCTACCTGAGTTGTGTTTGATCCTCTTATCCTGTGTGTGATTCAGGTGATCTGGCAAAGGATAAGGGGAATTAGAAGAGAAATATCTTCTCTAAATTATTATTGAGTCTATTAATGTATTTCATCTGCTTGCCTACTCTGTTATCTCACAGAAAGGACAAAACTGTGTGGTGACATAAAACACATGAGATACATATTTATACTTTTCTGCAAAATGCCAGTAAGGGGAAATTCTCTAAGGAGCAGAGCAGGGCCTGACCCACTTCATGGTGAGGCTGCTGATAACAATTTCAGAGAATATAATCTGTCAAGATCAGCAGGAAGTGGGAAAGATTGGGTATTTTCTTCCCTTATGCCTCCTTTTTTTCAGCCAAAATCCCCCTTCCTCCCCAAAGGAAAATGTTGACCCACTGGATTTCATTTCTTTTTTACATCCCTCTTTCCTGCAGTTCAGGAAATCCTGTTGCATCCCTGTGGGTGCTGTAGGATTGTTCGTGCCTTGTGTGAATGGGTCTGGCTGCTGGGATTCCCAGCGAGGCTGCACTGGCTGTGCCTTGGTGATACTTTCTTTTTCAGCTGTGTTTGACTTTTCCCATGTCAATACTTTCTGTGTAGGTGTGCAGAGTGTTGGGTTTCCTCTGCCCACATCGCTGCTGTAGCAGCTTCTGGGACCTTGTCTTGCTCAGTTTTAGACTCAGGCTGTATGGAGAGAAAGGGAGATGGGAGCTGAGAGCAGGTGGGTGATCCCTGGGTGTGACACTGCCCGTGCTTCTACTCCTGTCACACTCACAGAAAAATGAACCCTGATTTATGCAGAACACCATTCCAGGCCTTAAAGCTCAGCCTAAGTGGTTGCAACTGTGCAAAATTTGGGGTAAGCAACTGCAAGGGGGACTTCAAAGCAAGGATTTGCCGAGAGGCTGCAGATTTTGGGTAGGGGTCCTGGCCGCAGAGCAGCCCCAAAAACAGAGTGTGGCTCCTTAGCACCCTGAGAGCAGGGGATGGGTCAGCTCCATCCCAGCATCAGCCTTTGGCTGCATCCCTCAGCATATTCCCACTCCTCCCTTTGAGCTGATGCACTCACCACAAGCTTTCCTTTTGAGAGTCAAGTGATCAGAAAAAGGGAACACAGCTTAACACGCAGCAGAGCCGCGGAGGACGAGGGGAGGGGAGGACAGGGAAACGCGGCACCAGTGACTCAGTGGGGGCTGGAAAGCTTCTGTTTCAGGGTGGAGAAACCTGGAGCTGTCCTGACTCCCTCGCAGAGGTTGTTCTCCTGGAAAATTTACAGCTCAGAGCTGATTGTTTGGCTTGGCACCATGGTCAGGATGCTGCCTTGTAAACTTAATAATAGCTGCCCTCTTTTTAATTTGTTTGACCTTGACTACAGTAATTTATTATGTGCATTAGAACTTTTTTTTTTTTAAAGAAGAAAACGCAAAGAGCACAGCAACAAAGCCTTTGGCTCCCTGTTCTTCCTTCCATGGTGCTCTGGGTTTGGACTCCTCGGGCTGATGACGCCCTGAGCTCTTGCAGTTGTGAGGGACGAGTTGAGAGGAGAACATTAGACAATTTCTTAGAAAGGAGCTTCTCCAGGTTTGTGCTGTGGCAGTTTGCTTTTCCGGTATATATGAGTCTGGGTTGTTCCTTTTTTTCCTGACAGCCCCTTTTGAGGAAAAACTCATTCATATTTTCAAAGACCCTCTTTGCAGGCAGCTCAACGCTCAGGAACAACCCAGTATTTTGTGTCTCTACCAATTCTTGTAGATCTCTCTGTCTCTGCAGAGGCCAGGACACAAAGAAAACAAGATCTCCTCTGGTTGTGTGATCTACTTTTTTTTTTCTTAGTGCTTAAAGTGAAAGCAGCTGCTGGCACAGCCTTCCTTGGGCTCTCTCTCCCCTCACTTGCAGATTTGCTCTTTGTTTGTTTGTTTGGATGCTCACAGAATTTTGCCTTGTCTTTAGTGTTGGGTTAAAATAGTCACTGTTGGCCGAAGTTGCTGGCCCAGGAGTGCAAACCCCTGTGTGTGTTGCAGAGGAGCCCTCGTTCCGCTGCGAGGACTGCGATGAGCTCTTCCAGTCCAAGCTCGACCTGCGGCGGCACAAGAAGTTCGGCTGCAGCGCCGTCAGCTCCCTCTACGAGACCCTCAATGACGAGATCAAGCAGGAAGGTCTTGGAGATGGACAGGTCTATGAGTGCAAAGACTGTGAGAGGATGTTCCCCAATAAATACAGGTACCCAAACAGTGCCAGACCCCCCTCTGGCCTCCCCTCTCTGTTGTCCTTCACCAGCCTGTCCGAGGATGGAGACACGGCACCGAGGGGGGAGCTGGGCAGCTTGGGATGGCTGCAGGGATAAACCTTGCCTCTCTCATAGGGCTAAGCACTGTTCATTTTGGGATCCTGCAGTGTCAATTAGCTGTTGGGCAGCATTTTATTTCACCTTGTTTTTGTAGACTGATGCTTTTCCTTACTTGTTGGGAGAGGCACCCAGAGACTGTTGATGGGAGGTTTAAATGGTTGTTTTCTGGGTTCCCTGTGACTCCTTCAGGGCTGTGACAGAGCTTGAGAGACCTGGGTTTGGGATCATTGCAACATCTGCTCTAGTTCTGAGGGAGAACAGTGGAATTAGTTCTGCCAGCATGTGTGTGAAGGCTTTTTATAGGTAACTCTTGGTCACTGGAGGTCAGAGAGGTGTCCTTACCTGAGATCTCTTAGCATGGTCATGAGCTCCTGTTTGATCTTGCAGAAGCAATTAAAAGATTCTATTCCAATCAAAATTTTGGCTTTGTTTGTGTTCACCAGGCATTTTTATAGTAGAAATGTGAAAAGGAAAAAAAGCAGATCGGATATTCTCCAGCTTATGGTTTACTTGCAATAATTATTCAGTTATTATTATAATAAGGCGACTCTAAACAAGAATTAAACTTCTTTTAAAATAGGAAAAACCTTTTGGGCCACTGGGATTCATCTGAAAATTTGCATCTTTTAAGCATAATGTGGCAGTAATCAAACACAGGTTTTAAGAGATCTTTGAGATTTTTGATTCAATGGCAAAGTGAGACGCAAATGGTAAAACATTAGGGGCCAGCTTTAAAAAGTTGAGGGGCTTTTTTAATCATTTTGAGATTGTGTTTATTTGCATCCTAAGCCTTTATAAAAGCCTTTATAAAATTCTATAAAACCTGAGTTTTCTCTGTTTACCGGAGGCTGAAGTTCTCACATACTCATTTCTTTTGAGTTCTCAGATGAACAAGCCCCGTGCACCACAAGGTTTGTTATAAACTGTGAGAACTGGCAATCCCCTGTCAGGCACTGCGTGAGCAGAGCAAAAACCTTGAGGTTAAAGCCAGTGTAAGGCCTGTTTCACTTCAGCTGAACATTTAAAAACACGCTTTTGTCACTTTGAACTTAATTATATTGAGACTTTCAGATCTTTGATCTAGGTGAGTGAGGGGAAAAATCTATTTTAGGAAACTTAGAGAACAGTGAAATGTAAAGAGCATTCCCTGATGTATCTGCACCAAAAAGGTCTTTGCTTGGCTGGGCTGTGGGAGGTGTAAAAGTTGGGGATAGATACCGTGATACCTGTCTGGGGTCCTTGTTAACCCAGCAGGGTGTCTTTATCCCTCACCTTATGTCTCTACATTGGCCACTTTCCATTAGATAATGAGAGTGCAAGTTCCTTTTTTTTTTTTTTTTCACCTGAAAAGACAAGGGAACTTCCTTTAAATGTTTTAAATCTGTTTAATTTTACTAACAGTTCCAATTCTTTGATCCATTGGTGTTAGAAGTTCTCTCCTCTTTAGCTTCCAGCACTCTCTACTTTTCATGTTAACTTGGAAAATTCCTTTCGAAATGTCTGTGTTGTATCCTCTTTGTAACCCCTGGTTATTCCTGGGGAGCTGGACTGGCACCATGGGCTCACTGGGTTTGTTGCCTTTTTGACCATTAATTCCCAGTATTTGGGAATGTGTAATATAAAGTTCACTTTTTTTGGATGGGGAAGAGAGAGTTGGCAGCATCCCCATTTAGCTGTTGGATTAGTGGGGCTGGAAGGGAATGTCCACATCCTTCTCTCCCCCATCAATCTGCCACGTTTAAGGCCACTAAACACACAATATACCCACTGAGTGTGCCTAGACAGTCTTAGAATTTTTCAGAAGTTAATACAGATCAAATCAAGAGTGCCACTGGGGACCTGAAATTGAGCATTTAGCAGCTGACTAAATAAATAAATGTTTTGCTAATCCCAGTAGGTACTTGCCTCTAAACAGTATATTAGTTTGTCCATATTTGCTGTAAATAAACTCATAAATCACAGTTAAAAGGAGCGTATTTTTGGATGTATATATGAAAGGTTTGTGTTACTTTGGATGTGTGGAAAATCTGGTAGTTTTAAGAACCCCATTTCTTTTAGCAAAATGAATATTGCTTCTTTAAAACGAGTGGATTGGCAGTTTATAGGAGGCACGGCCATGAATATTAACCATCTAGCTGGAGGAAGGGGAGGTTCTCCAAGGGACCAGCAGTCTGGTGGCTGCAGAGGTTTGGATGGAGAGTGGCCAGACTGGCTGCAGTCTCCAAACCCACTCGTGATGAACCACCTCCCACCCTGTCGGGGCACAGCGATGTCCGTGCAGGGCAGCTGTGGGTGCAGTCACCCTTTATCTGGGGGTGCAGTCACCCTTTACCTGTGGGTGCAGTCACCCTTTTTCTGGGGGTGCAGTCACCCTTTTTCTGGGGTGCAGTCACCCTTTATTTCTGGGGGTGCAGTCACCCTTTTTCTGGGGGTGCAGTCACCCTTTATCTGGGGGTGCAGTCACCCTTTTTCTGGGCACTTTAAAGGACACCAGGTGGGTGCCCAGGGCTGGGCTGTGGTCTCTGCCCTGCCCGAGGTCAGCCCTTCTCTCCTCCCCAGCCTGGAGCAGCACATGGTGATCCACACGGAGGAGAGGGAGTACAAGTGTGACCAGTGCCCCAAGGCTTTCAACTGGAAATCCAACCTGATTCGGCACCAAATGTCTCACGACAGTGGGAAACGGTTTGAATGTGAAAACTGTGTTAAGGTACAGTGAGGTCACGGGGCACTGTGGGGGGGCTTCGCCTGGGGAGGGCCCTGGGACCCTGGGGAGGGGGTGCAGGGGATGGGTGGTCCCTGCTGGCACCGGGCAGGGCAATATGGGGAGCGGTGCCCCCGCTGTCCCCAGCACAGGGAGAAGAGCTGTCCTCACTGTCCTGGGCATCCCATGTGGGGGTGGAGCTCAGCCCTACCCCAACCCTTTGACCATTTCCCAGGTGCTGGGGTGGCAGATGTGGGTGAGCAAACACCTCCTAAACCACCAGCATCCCACAGCGAGGGAGTCTCTCAGCAGCCCGGCAGGGCACCCACAGCCCTAATCTGTGTCATGAGCGCCTGTGACCAAAAAAAAAAAAAAAACCCCAGATTGTCAAGTTTTCCACGTGTAGTCTCTGCTCCTCCTGCTTGCCTCGCCCTGCTGACGGAGCTGTCCCTGCAGGTGTTTACGGACCCCAGCAACCTCCAGCGGCACATCCGCTCGCAGCACGTGGGGGCTCGAGCCCACGCCTGCCCCGACTGCGGCAAGACCTTCGCCACCTCCTCGGGCCTCAAGCAGCACAAGCACATCCACAGCACTGTCAAACCTTTCATATGTAAGTTGTCACGGCCATGGCAGGCTGGCGCTGGCTGTAATTGCAGGTATCCTGCGGGGCCCCCCAGCCCTCCTGTCCCCCGCTGTAATTTTAGAGCTCGGAGCTCCAGATGAAATTCCTCTGCTGTGATTTCTCTTTTTTTCTTTTCTTTTTTTTTTTTTTTTTTTTTTTTTTTGGTGTGCTCCTTGTTTTTTCAGTAAACATGCGTGGCAGTTTTTGACTTTCTTGACGAGTTAAGAGCTGAGTCTCTCAGCGGTCCCAGCGATGCCATTTTCTGGTATCTTTTCTTTCTCTCATCTTTTTTTGCCTTAGTAATTTTTGAATGTTCCTGTTGATGACATAGATAAACAGCTGACATGGCCTGGTTGAAATGTTTTTTCGGGGATGCCTCAAATCCTGTAGCCACTGTAAAGAACTTGGAGTAGTCACAGAGATTGAGAAGGTGTTTTTTAAAAATAGTTTTTTTCTTCTTTATTTACTGCATGTTTCATCTAGATAATGCTGGAAGCCAAATAAACAGCAGATGAACTGTGTCCTCAGTGCTCTCCTTAGTGGGATATTTCCAGAAGGGCATTTTCCTTGGAGAGTCATCCATCTCATTCCTTGTCATTCCCAGGGTTGTATATTTTTTTAATTGACACAGCACCAATTGGGTTTGGGTAACTGAGCAGGAAGGTGGTTGTGTCACAACAAAGCTCCAGGAACTTTAGGGATCACTTCCTGACACTTCAGAACACGTCGTTCAGGCACAGGCCGGGATCTGGGTTTGATTCCAGGCTTTGATGTTAGGGTAGGGAAGGCACTGAACCCACTCCTGCCTTTTTTCCCTGCTGCTGTAATGGGAACAGCATGCAGGAGTGTCCTGGGAGACCCGTTTCATTAACGTGTCCCGCGGTAATCAGCTGGGTGTCAGCGGAGGAAGAAGAAATGCTCTTCTTGCTCATTTTGCTGCCATCTCTCATTGGGCGACGGGCACATGAAAGAGGTGATTTGACTCAGAATTGCTGCAGCAGATGAGGGATTTCTCCTCATAATCTCCTCACTCTCACCTCATCAGAATTAGGGGGTTGTCAGGCCAGATCAGTGTGTGAAACAACTGTACCTGTCAGTAAGGCTGGCAGGGAGGGAGGGAGGAGCATTAGTTGGTCCCTGACTTGTAGGGCTGGGTGTCAGGAGAGCTCAGATTCGTGTCCTTGCCTGCCCAACTGCAAACAATATCCTTCCCCCTCTTTGTCTCTGTTTCCACGCTCACAAAGGGTGATAACAGCAGTTCTCCGGTGGAAGGAGCGTGTTCCTTCACCACCACGTAGGATTTATTCCCACGATGAAAGAGGCACCAGATAATAAAAAGTCACAGCGTTTTGATGTGTAGGAAAGTTTGGGTGGGAATTTTGTCTCACTTTGCCCTGCTCCTCCCACACCAGCAAAGTTTGTAGGTGAAAGGGGTCATAAAGATCCACGCTTTGAAAGCTTGGTATTTGCAGGTTGTTAAAGAAAATGCTGATATAGCTTCGCTTGGAAATTTAGGTTGGATAGACGGAAGAAATCCTTCCCTGTGAGGGTGAGGAGGCCCTGGCACAGGTTGCCCAGAGAAGCTGTGGCTGCCCCATCCCTGGAAGTGTCCAAGGCCAGGTTGGACGGGCCTTGGAGCAACCTGGGCTAGTGGAAGGTGTCCCTACCCATGGCAGGGAGTGGAACTGGATGAGCTTTAAGGTCCCTTCCATCCCAAACCCAAACATTCCATGACCATCTTTACTGAAAATTCCCCCAAATTTGATCAGGAGTAGCACATCCCCTCAGATTTCTGTAGAGCTGCTTGTTGAGGCATTCCCTAGGATGGGATTTACCCCAGGGGAAAGGTGCTGGACCCCCTCAGCCACCCCCTCGGCTGCTCTTGCCTGTTCTGGCTCCGGGGAAGGGGGAGCCGGGGTGGGGGAGGCTGGGGGAGCTCCCGGCGAGCCCGAGCCATTTCCTGGTAATTTCATATCGCTTTTGTTGTTTGGTTCCTGTTGACGCTTTAGGTGAGGTCTGTCACAAATCCTACACGCAGTTCTCCAACCTGTGCCGCCACAAGCGGATGCACGCGGACTGCCGCACGCAGATCAAGTGCAAGGACTGCGGGCAGATGTTCAGCACTACCTCCTCCCTCAACAAGCACCGCCGCTTCTGCGAGGGCAAGAACCATTACAGCCCCGGCGGGATCTTCGCCCCCGGCCTGCCCCTGACGCCCACTTCCATGATGGACAAGTCCAAGCCCTCTCCCAACCTCAACCACGCCAGCCTGGGATTTAATGATTATTTCCCATCCCGCCCGCACCCGGGGGGCCTTCCCTTCTCACCTGCCCCCCCAGCCTTTCCCGCCCTCACCCCGGGGTTCCCGGGCATTTTCCCACCCTCTCTATACCCCAGGCCCCCCTTGTTACCGCCCACACAACTGCTCAAAAGCCCCCTCAACCACACTCCAGACGCGAAGCTCCCCAGCCCCCTGGGGAACCCGGCCCTTCCGCTGATCTCTGCAGTGAGCAACAGCAACCAGGCCCCTTCCGGGGAGGAGAAATGTGAAAGCAGCCTGGAAAACTCCTACCTGGAGAAGCTAAAAGCCAGGAACAGTGACATGTCCGATGGCAGTGACTTTGAGGATGTCAATACAACCACGGGCACGGACCTGGACACCACTACGGGCACGGGATCTGACCTGGACAGCGACGCAGAGAGTGACAGGGACAAAACAAAAGACAAGAGCAAACAAATGGAGACCAAGCCAGATTTTGTCAGCAGCTCTGTGTCTGCGAGTTCCACCAACACCACCAGTGAGATCCCTCTCTTCTATTCTCAGCATTCCTTCTTCCCTCCCCCCGAAGAGCACCTGCTGCCCACCACGGGAGCAGCCAATGACTCTATCAAAGCCATCGCCTCCATCGCAGAGAAGTATTTTGGGCCTGGCTTTATGGGGATGCAGGAGAAAAAGATGGGTTCGCTCCCATATCATTCCATGTTCCCCTTTCAGTTCCTCCCCAATTTCCCCCATTCCCTCTACCCTTTTACGGAGCGGACCCTCAACCACAACTTGCTGGTCAAGGCAGAACCAAAGTCACCCAGGGACCTCCACAAAGTAGGCAGCACCAGCTCGGAGTCCCCCTTCGATCTCACCACGAAGCCAAAAGAGATTAAGCCAATCCTGCCGCCCCCGAAGGTCCTGCCAGCCCCATCCTCAGGGGAGGAACAGCCACTGGATCTGAGCATTGGCAACCGCATCCGAGCCAGTCAGAACGGAGGAAGAGAGCCACGGAAAAACCACATTTATGGGGAGAGGAAGCTGATGGCAAGTGAAGTCTTACCCAAGATTTCCCAGTCTCAGCTGCCTCAGCAGCCGTCCCTGCACTACGCTAAGCCATCACCCTTTTTCATGGACCCCATCTACAGGTATTAACATACCCTGCCTTAAGCCTTTCTCTAGCCAGCTCATTTTCTAGCTGACATCACACCTTGAGGCAGGTGGTGGTGTAGGTTGCTTGGAAAGAGCAGTGAACTCCTGCTGTGGGTGTTCGTGCTTCTCAACACGCTGAGTTTCCTGAATGGAAAGGGCAGAGTAATTGCAAGGAGCCCTTGTAATCAATGTGTGTAAAGAACACATCCTTATTTTGATAAAGAAGAAACTCGACCTATTTAAGGACTCTCCCACGAGCCATCGCTAAGATGGCACTTCTGCTGGGGAAATTCCAGAGGTTTGATTCGATAAGAATGCAGAGTTCAGATGCCTCGGAGCCTGGGCTCTCTCATGGCTTGGGAATGAGTCAGGAGCCCTGGGAGCCTGGAAACGCAGCTCTCCCACTGACTGACTCGATGGCCTTTTGTGAGCCACTTCACCTTTCTTCCTCCCACCCCCTTTTTCTTTCTAATGCCTTTTCTGCAGAGTTTCTCAGCTCGGAGGAGCGGCTGCTGCAGATCGAGTCTGACGGAACTTGTTACTCTTGGAGTAACAAGTACTGTGCAAACACATGGTAGTGTGTTACTACCCAGAGCTCTCCCAGATATGTTTCTTGCAGACTTTTCTTTCTTAGGAGACAGCAAGGGTTTTCTAGTGTCACTTGAACAGATGGATTTTGAGGAGGGCCTGATGCCTTACGTCATGCCTAGAAATGAGCTGAGCGTGGAAGGCGTGTGTAGAGCAGGCTGGGTGAAGTTATCCAAGTGCCAGTTAAGCTTACAGAAGGAATAAATTCAGGAGCTGCGAAGGGAAGACTTGGGCCTTTCGTTGTTTGAGAGGTTTTTGTAAAAACCTGTTTCTAAAGGAAAATGATTTAAAGCTTTATGGTGAGGGTACCAGTAAATTTGTGGCTTACCCATCCAGGCACCGGAGCCATCTTTGGTGTCGTCCTGCTGTGGTTGAGGTGGATGTGGCATGTTTGATTTTAGCAAAGCCCAGTGAAAAGAAGGGTCCTGAACTAGTTTGATATAGACATTTGCATGTCAAAATGTTAGTTAATGTTAATTTAGATATTAACATGTCTAAATGCTTGGTGTCATCTATTGGGATACCTGGAAGGCTCCTGGATTCAGTGTCCAGCCGGTTCCTGGAGGTGGACAGTTTGTCCTTGCATCCCTTGAGCTGAATGTGAATTGTGTGCCTAGTGACCCTCACTGTATCCAGCCTGCTGGAAGGCTGATGGATGTGCTGCAGGAGCTGCTGTTTTGCTGGTGCTGGAAAGCCTCAGAGTCACCACGGTGTGACGTGTCAGCACCGGGATGGGTCACTTGAGCATTCAAAGGGCTGCAAACAACACCAGAACCTCGCCAGTGTCGCTGAGGCTGCTGCCTTCAGCTGATAACTGGGGGGAAAAGTGATGTCAGTGTCTGGCCAGGCCAAGGAGCTGCTGGGCTGGGATTAGTGAGCCCTGGGTGCTGGCTCTGCCAGCTCAGGGGGTGATGCAGCACTGCGTGTGTGCCATCTGCGATGCAAACACTGCATCCCAGCCCAGGAGGTGCCATGTCCTGCCTGGGACACACTGTGGCCATCTCCCATCTCCTCTTGGAGAAATCAGTCCTGATATGAACAGTCCAGCATTCGTTTTTGTAAAAAGTACTCCTGGGGAAAACAAAAAGAAAAAAAGTCAATAAATGGGATAGAAAGGCAAAAAAAAAAAAGTGTTCCCGTCGGATCCTGCCACCTCTGGGCATTCTCAGCAGGACTGTTAAAATAACATGGGCTGGAAAAGCCACTGCCAATTAAAATAGCGGCCTCGGGAAAACCGTAAAGGTCCAGAAGACAGATGGAAGTGAGGAATGGGGGCATCATTTGTTGCATTCCATGGGATGCATATAGTTTTAGTAATATATTAAAATAGAAAGGCAGCGGTGGGGTTGCTTGCGAATCAGACTTCTGATGTAATGAGCTAAACAGCCCAGCTTCCAAGTCCCAGCTTGAAAAATATGGAAATATTTTGTTTCTAAACTTCCCTTTATCAGACTCTCTCACATCATTTGGCTCCTTCATTTTTCTCCCAAAGGCCACTTAAATCCTTGACATTTTCTCCTGGTGATATAATTTAATGCAGCCAGACAGCCTGAAACTGGGGCAGTTTTTAGCTGGGCCTGTGAAGGTGACGTTCTCAGGCACTGGGCTCAAACCATCGGCTTAATCCTCCGGGCTCTGACGGGGGTGTTTGGACGGTGCTGTGTTCCCATTCCCAGTGCTGGGAGATGGCAGAGCTGGTGAAACGCTGTCAGCTCACCAGGTTTCATGTCTGTGGGCAGGCAGGGCTGTCTCCAGTCACCTCTGCCAGGGTCAGGGATGTTCCCTTGGGCATCACAGCCCCACGGAGAGCAAAGCTGGGCCGGTTGGGGGGCTCAGGGAGCAACTTCTTAGATATTCTTTGACAGATTGTTGTTTTTCTGACAGTTCATGCCCATAAAAGCACATACCTTCCAAAGCCCCGTAACTCTGATGGCATTTCCAATCCAGCTCTTCTCTCTCCCTCTGCCCAAGAAGAATTAAATGCAGATTAAGTACAGTTCACCAACTGCACTCTGCAGGGCTCTTCTTTAAACTCTTTGGTAATTTGATCCATGCACCAATCAGCTGAAATGCAGCAAAATAATTTGCTCTCATTTATGCTGGACTAATGTAGTTAAAATTACTCTTACTCTTGGATTTCTGCTGTTTGAGCTGGATGGACTCAATTCCAGTCATTTAAAGAGGCAGCTGTGTTTGTTGGAGCTGCTTCCACAACACTTTTTTCCCACAGAGGACATTTCAGTTTGTCTTTTCGGTGATTCCACACCACGGTTTCCCTGCAAGTAGAATATTTTGTGAAAGCAAAGCCAGTAATTTCAAAAATAGGAGCCTCACTTTCGGGTTGTTTTTGTATATCAGGGGCTTAAACATGAAATATTTGAGTGGCCCAAAGTGATACCAGAGGAACTCGGGTTTCTGAGGTGCTTCAGAACTCTCCCACCAGTTCCTCCCTTGTTAAATTGTTGTCCACACGTGCTTACCAAAGAAACTCAATGCAAATTATAGCTCAGCTGCAAGGGAGGAAAGAAATATGAAACACCTAATGATTTCAGCACGCTTGGGGCTGCAAAGTCTGGCCTGGTGTTAACTCTGAGTAAATACAAACTCTCAAAGACAATTTCTTTTCCGTGCAGGGACTCCAGAGCTTCTCCCACCCAGACATTGCTTTTGCTGGAAATGCAGGGTTTTCATGACATTTCACAAGAGCAGAGGTTTGTAAACCACCACAGCAGGGCAGGAGCAAAACATTTCCTTAGTCCTCAGTCTGGTGGGTAAACAAATACTGCCCAAAGGAGGGGATCTGTGTTCATATGGTTTCCAGTGCCTTTTGCGGGGTATTTGTGGGTCAGAATTTGGAGTCTGCAGTAGAAGGAGAAGGAAGACATTTGTGTCAGTAGGAGAATAACCCCCTGTGTTTGATGGAACCCTCCTGCAAAGGGTTTGGCTGTGGCACTGTGAGGTATGTAACCCTCTGTGTTGTTGTCCAGCAGGGTGGAGAAGCGGAAGGTGACAGACCCCGTGGGTGCCCTAAAGGAGAAGTACCTGCGACCCTCCCCGCTGCTTTTTCACCCCCAGGTAACAGCAGGGACGTGGTTGTGCCGTGTGGATTGAATGCCAGGGGGGTTGAGATGGAGCTGGTGCATCACTGGGATCAGACTCCTCCTCATCCAGGGGCTTGATTGGAATATCCACTATGTTCCACCAGCTACTTCCAGACACTTTCATCCGTACCTGGTTGGAGGACGGTGGCAGTTATGCCTCCTTGTTCCTTTTGCATTACCAGAAGAACAGGGATGTGGTTTGGGCAGCTCTGCTGAACTCCCCGTTCACAGGCCAGAATGCCTGTGTGGTTTTTCCTTCAGTGTGGTCATTTGTACCTGCCTGGTGCTCCCTGACATCATCTGCAGTGCATGGAAGAGCCGGGCCCTGGGCTCAGCTCTGCCTGCTCCGAAGGCGTGTGACGGTCACCAGCCATCCCCGTCCCTCCTGCTGTGGCCAGGCTGGGATCCCAGCCCCCTGGTCCTCATTGTGCTCTCCTTTATATTCACATGCATTGTTCTCCCCTGATAATGTTTCCCACCTTAGATAAATAACTTGCAGGTTTGTGAAAGCTGGGTCCTGGTTGCTTTCACAGCTAAACTTAGTTCCCTCATTGTTTCGCACCAGCCTCAGAGTTTGGTTAATAACTTCCCCCGATTTTTCCTTCGTCCAGGCTGGATAATGGTGACAGGCTGGCCAGGAACATCCTGTGTTTGTGTGAGTTAGAATAGTGGGGATATCTGCCTGTAAAGAATCTGATAGCAGGGAGGAGCCAGTGTGGCAAAGCAAACCAGCGAGACGATGAGAAACGTCCAGACCCTGAGCAGGAGCGAGCTCTGGGTGGAAGGTTGTTAACATTGTTCCCGAAATCCTGACCACGTCCTCTTCCCATGGCGATGAAAAGATGTGGAAGGCCTGGTTATCTCTAGCAGCTTATCACACAGAATAGCTGAAAATTTACAATCACTCGAGCCCCAAACTTCCTGATAACTGGTTTTAATGAAGCGTGTGCTGAGTACAGATCATTGGGTCTGGAGAGCTGCTGTTCCCAGGCTGCAGTCCATCAGGTAGCAAAAATACAGCACAGGAAGATGGGTCATTTGTTCCAGAATATGTGAGATTTTTGCTATCAGATCCCCTTCCAATATTATCATGGAATGTCCTGAGTTGGAAGGGACCCTCAGGGATCATCAAGTCCAATCCTGGCCCTGCACAGACACTCCAGGAATCCCACCCTGTGCCTGAGAGTGTTGTCCAAACACTCCTTGAGCTCTGGCAGCTTTGGGGCCCTGACCACCACCTCCCTGGATCCTAGATTCCTAAAATCCTGGATGTTTTCCTAAGAAATCATATGTTCAGGGTTCCTGCTTCTGCTTTCTTCATTAGGACCAATGTTCCTATGCTGGGCCAATCAGAGGCACGTTCTACCTGGTCTTCTCTCACTCTAAACACGAGTCTGGCCTCAGCCCTTTCCTCCGTGACTCATCCCCCAGCTCTCACAGAGCCCTCAGTGGGATGTGAGGAAGCAGAAGACGTGATAAAAGTGTTCAGAAGAAATTTTCTCTCTCTGAATGAATTTCAGGCAGCTCTTATTTTTCAGCCAGTCGTTGGCAGAAGTTCCTCTGCTCTCTGGGAGTTTTCCTACATTGTCTATTCCAAATTAAACTCTGCACAACATAAATAGCCGGTGTAACTTTTTGATAACTTAATGGAGGACCTTTTCTTACCTGTTACGTTTCTTTTCTTCTCCCTTTCTTCTTTATTATAACCAGGCAGTTGTTCCCTAAATAGCAAAGTGCCTTTGCCGCTGGAGAGGCCGTGGCCAGTGTTTAGAATTTTCAAACCAGCCCACGGCTCTGAAGGCAGCAAACATCTCTGACTAAGTGCCTAAAGAACAGGGCACAACAAAGGGGAGCTCCAGGTACCCCGGCGAAGGGCTGAGTGCACGGCTCTGAAAGGGCCAGAGAGCATTTGAACGTGATGGTTTTGTTACATGACTGGCAGCTGGGGCAGAGCTGGTGCTGGAAATGATCAAGTAACCTTTTCAAGTGGCTGGCGCTAAGTATTACTTACAATTTAGCATGGGCTGGGAGCCTCCAACTAAGGGGCTGTGGATCTATTATCAGGGAAGGGGGGGTTACTACTCCTCTTGTTTTGCAGCTTATGAATGGTTGTCAGCCTTCCACAATGTATTCTTGGGTGATTAAGACGGCTTTTTTTTTTCATATAGTCGTATATTTTTAAACAATATCTTGGCTCTCTTCCCCCTCTGCCCCCCCCCCGAGCCCAGTTTAATAAAGTGTAAACGTGCAAAAGGTCAGCCCTTCCTGTACAATAGAGCATCTCCTGGTGATATATGGCTTCCTACTGCCTTCCGCCCCCTCTGCAGCCAGGCCCCGCTCCCCCCGTGCTCCCGGTGATGTCAGCACAGCCAGGAGGCAGCTTTATTGCTGCCTTGTTTGGTTTATCCCTCCTTTCTGCTCTCGGTGTCTCGGAAGTGCTCTCAGGAGTGCATGAAGTTGGATGCTGGGAGATGTCAGCGTCGTCCTCGGAGCTGCACTTCCCTCTTGGATTTTGGATTTCCTCTTTTGCCCTAATGAAAGTAAAAGTGCTTTTCGTTAGTTAGGATTTTTATGCAAATCCTTTTTTTTTCCACATAGGCCAACTTCTTTCTTTCCTTTTTTTTTTTTTGTTTTCCCCTTCTCCTGTATCTCCAGCTTTTTTCCCTTTCTCCCTGTTTCAGGTGTGGTATTTACTCCAGTGTTTAGGTGAGCACACAGAAGTTGCAAAGTCATACAAACTAAAGCTGATAAAGGCACCCAGGGGCATTTTCCTCAGTGTCCCATCCCCAGGCCAGCATGCCAGCTGCTCCCATCCCAACAGGATGTGTAGCTCTTGGTCCTCCTGCCTGTAACTCACCCAGCCACAGCTCCCATCCCGGGCTTTGGCTGGAGTTCCCTTTCACTGCAGGAAGCTCAGCCATCTCCCACCCATCCTTCCATCACCTTTACTGGCTGCTGAACCTTTCCTACATATAATTAAAGTGTTGGCCTCTTTGCTAGGCAAACTCTCTGGGGACCCACTCCATCCTGAGCCTGATCCGAACTCCTCCTCTTCCCAGCTGCTCCCTTTTCACCCCTTCAGCCTCAGCCTCTCCTCTCTCAGCTCCCTGAGCAGCCATCACACATCCCTCCCACTCCACTTTGGCCAGAATTCTTCTGCCTCCTCCTGCCCAGAACTTCTCTGTCCCCTCACACCTGGGTCGTGTCCCTGCCTGCTCACCCACAGCTCACTGCCCTGTCCCTCTGAGCCCCTGTGAGGATGGAGGATGCTGTAGGAGACATCAGACCTCCCTGCTTCCCAAGACTTGGATTTGAGTTTGAGAGGAGAATTTGGGTGCTGAGTTCTACCTCTGGCATCTGGCCATGCTGTTTAGTTTCAGTTTTATTCCTGGAGAAAGGGAAAACAGGCATAATCTGAGATGGGTTTTACTCTGAAACACTTAAAGTAAGCCCAGGCACATGGCAGAAGTGCTAATTTCTGGGATCTACACTCCTGGCTTTGCCAGCTGTGTCTTTCCTGATTTCTCCAAGACCAGTACACTGCTCCTGTCTTTGCTGGCTGGGATCAGTGGCTCCATTTCCCACTGTGCGGCTTCAGGGGAGCTGAAAGTCGCGTTGTGTGCACCAGATCCTGCTCCTCCCGTGGGCTTTTCTGACACGAGGCCTCGCCTTGTCCTTGCAGATGTCAGCCATCGAAACCATGACGGAGAAACTGGAGAGCTTTGCGGCCATGAAGGCAGACACTGGCACTTCCCTGCAGCCCCTTCCACACCACCCCTTCAACTTCCGATCGCCACCGCCCACGCTGTCCGACCCCATCCTGCGCAAGGGCAAGGAACGCTACACCTGCAGGTGAGGGCAGGGGCACCCCAGCCAGCCAGACCGACCCCAGGGCGTGGGGGCACCCCAGGAGATGCCACCCCAGCCAGGGAGCTGCTGCTCTGGGCACCGCTGGGACCAGGGACGTCTCCGCAGGGGCGGGAGGGAAAACGAGAAGCGGCAGAATTAGGGCAGAGCGCTGGGATGACTAATCCCCTCTGAAATAGCTTGTTTTGTCTGGGAGGAAATCAGCATCTTCTGTTTGCTTTGTAATTTTTAATAACCTTGAGAGCGGATCTGGAGATTCTCAAGCAGGCCCGGCTCCCCAGGCCGAGCCCCTGGCGTGTCCCAGTGCCAGCACAGCCTCCGCTGTGCCCACTCCCAGCTCTGGAAAATGATGGCAGTGCAAAAAGTGGCGTGCAGGAAACAACTTCTTCAAGCACACGTGTACCCACAGAAGTCCTTGAGTGCCCATCCCAGCCCCGAGAGCTCCTATCAGAGCAAGTCACTGGTATTTAATAATAAACCTCTGCTTTACCTGCAGCTACTCGAGGTTCTTGTGGTGGCTCCTGATGAGGGTTTTTGGATGCAGAAAATGGGCACAGACTTTGGTTGATGTATCTCTTACATTCAGCTTTGCCACAAAAGCTACAGGCTCACATTTTGGCTGAGTCTTTAGAAATCGGAGGGGTTTCCTTACAACAGGGACTAAACTTAAATTTAGACACAGACTCACAAGTTAGCATTTGTGTTTCCCTTGTTGAGGAACACTCACATGGACTGTTTATCTTCAGGACACCTGAGGGTGCTGAATGTGCCTGAAATTAAGAGATTTTACTCAAAGCTTCCTCCTACGACAGTCAGAATGCAGCCCCTCATCCTTAGTATTTTAGTTCCCTGTTAGTATTTTTGTTTATCCCTTTTGAGTTTACTGTGAACTGGATTTATTGGGGAACACAGTTTATTCATTTCTGTTGCTGAATCTCCTTGCTCTAAGCAGCTTGTCAGCCCCAAACCCATAACTCAGTGCTGCAGCCTTTATCCAGGAGCAAATTCTGTGAATTCCAGGGAGGATGGAGCAGATTCTGTACGAAGAGCAAGTAACCAGGGCTATAAAGGACATCTACAAACATCTCAACTGGCAGTATGACTGGGCTGGGATTAACCCCCTGTATTTGTATATATAATATTTTCTGTCTGCAGGTACTGTGGTAAGATCTTCCCACGCTCAGCGAACCTGACGAGGCACCTGCGGACACACACTGGGGAGCAGCCTTACAGGTGAGCTCCCCCCTTCCCACACTCCCCGCTCCGGGACTCCTTCCCCTCTCTGAAAAGCTGTGCCAGCAGAACACCACAGGCCTGGATTATTACACAGAGTGATTCATAGGGTTGTATATTATGTGTACCAGCCAAAAATAATCAGGCTTGGCAGCCTGAAGATAGACACTTAACTTATATTTAGATGTATGCTGGCAAATGAGGGCTCTGATTTGCAGTGTTGTTTCACACTCACGTTAACCATTCATCTCAAGGACAGCTGAAGGTGCTGAATGGCTCTGAAATTCAGGCTGGTTTGAAGGGCTTGCCAGGACCTTCACTGCTGGGGCTGGCTGGATTTTTTTTTTTCTTTTCCTGATGTATGTCAGAGGTGCCTGGAGTAGTGGATCAAAAAAAAACAAAGGAGAAGAAAAACCCTATAGAATGATCTGCTTTAAAATCAAAGTTTGGCAGTGTCTGGCCTTAAATCACGAAGTTTAAAGGGACTGGTGGGAGGGGGGGATTCACACATTGTCTCACACATTCAGTGGGTGTTTTAGGTGGAAAGCTGAACTATTCTCTGCTAGTTGTGGACAAGGTGGTGTGATTTGGACACCTCAGTGTGCAGGGGGTGTGTGCACAGGGACAGACTCTCCCTCTGCAGAGCAGGCACAGCATCCCAGCCCGGCACATGCTGGTGCTGTGACTTAGAAAGGGGCTCCTGTTTAACTAAGGGCTCTAAATTCGAATAAAACTCACAAGAAAATATATGTAATATGTGGATGTAGGTGTATAAATGACTATTTCTCATGGAAGACCGAGCAGGAACGTTCCCCCCAGTATTTTCTCCTAGTCCTTTGCAGGCAGTTTCAAAAAACTTCAGCAAAAATACACTTTCCTGTTAGAATTGGGTCCACAGATGAGCAAACCTGAAGGAATGATGAACTGGGAGCTCGCTGCAAATCAGGCATTCTGTTTCCCATGATGTGAGTAAGTGTTTTGCACATTGTCAAACAACAGTAACAATCCAGTTTCATTTTGGGTAGCTGATATTGCAGCGTTCCCATGCACAGCCATAAGCTCACAGCAGAGCAAACGTTATTGTATGAAGAGAAACACAAATTTATGAGCAGCAAAAGGCCATGTGGCCAAATACATCACGTTTTTATGCTTAGTTTAACTCGAGAAGCGACTCTCCCACATTGTAATCGCTGCTGCATGAAGGAGTCACGTTTATTTTCCGTGCAGAATCCTGAGCAGACATTAGGTAAATGAAAATATACCTTGGCCCCAGTGCCTGCTGTGGTGCTCGGGGCTGTGGTATTTGCTGTGATGAGCGGGCGCTGTGTGTTCCCTGGGCACGGAAACGCTCGCCCCCGATTATTCGCAGATTGTTAGTTCGGTTTTCTTCCAAAAAAGGAGACTTGCAACCAAACAAAGGTTAGGAAAATAAGGATTTATTTGATCTGGTCTTCTCCCAGAAAATGGCCTGTGTGGGTTTTTTTAGAGGTCTGACTCCTGGACAACATTGCTGTCTAACAGCACTCCGGAGAGTCGGAGCTGCGTCTGCAGAGGAGCTTTAATTATCATTGATTGGCTTTTTTGCTCTCAGAGAACTGAGATTTGCAGCTTTGGCAGCCAGAATTGTTTGCAAAGCTTGTTTTTTAAGTATTGACTTCATGCAGGTAAAAGGAGGGTTTACTGATGTCTCCCTTATAACATTGCTTTTGACTGTTTAAAAGTTTTTTCCCTTTGATTCTCTCAGTGCTATATATTCATCCAAATATCAGTTAAAATGTTCCTAAAACCAATATAAACTGACCAAGTGTCCATGTGGAGATCAAGAAACAGACCAGAAAATAAGGTGGTTTGGTTTTGATTCCTGATTTCATTGAAAAATTATTTTACCAGGAGTTTTTACCAAGTTTTTACCAAGATTAGAGTTTTTATCAAGTCACTCAAACCTCAATTAAACCTCTTAGATGTCTATTTAATTCTGTATAAAGTACAGATAAAGCACAGGAACAATAAGGAGGCAAATTATTTTTTTTAAGGGAAAGTGAAACATGAGAAATACCTGCCAAGGCACTTCCTAAAAATCAGCTGATTTGAAAAGACTCTGAGACCCTGTGCCCTACAGTGAAATTCAGGGTTTCTTTTCACTCTTTTTTTTGCACCAAATGTAAAATTCAGGAATAGGCATTCCAAAGACCTTGTAGGTCTTGTGTCCTGTTATTTGCATTAAGCTGAATCTAACAGCTAAAGCTGACGGGTAGCACATCATTTCAGATCATGTGTAGTTCAATAAATATCTTTATTGAAGATATTTCTCATTTCCTGGTGTTTAAAATGCAGCCTAAGTTCACCCCTGGTATAAATGCTCTTGGGGCTGAGGAGGAGTTGCTGTCTTTGTGTTTCGTGCTTTTTTTTTCTGCAATTCTGCCTTTCCAGCTCACTCTGATCAGCAAATCAGTGTAAAACTGCGAGTGTGTCTCAGGGACTCCTTCCCACATTCCTGGGGTTTGTTCTCTGTTTTTTCCCCTCCACCCACGTTATCCCAGGTACCTCCAGCTCCAAGGATTGTCTGTGGCTCCTCAGAGCCCCCAGTTCCATCTCCAGCTCCTTCTTTGCTGTCATTCACTCCCACTTTGGATGTTTTTAGCCCATTGCTGTGTTCCTGTAAGCTGATAAGGGAGAAGCTTTACTGGTGTTCTGTCAGTATTTGCAAAGCAAATCCTGCTGCCTTTGAGTTTTACTCTTCTCCTGCCTCCGTGTTCACCCCTTCCCTGAATTTAAGCTGGTTCCTCTGTCAGGGTCATTTATTTAAATTAAAACCAGCAGAGTTCCCAGGACTGATCCCTCTGGGATCACAAATAACACCGGACATCTCCCTCATCCCTTTGCCTGCAGACATGAGCTGCTCCTTCCCGATGGCCCTCTGGTTCCTATTTTTTTAACAAGCTCCTGATCCTGTCTCCATCCCCTGCCCTGGGTGCACACAGCTCATTGTGAGAGCCAGGACCTGTCAGAGGGCACTTTCCAAAGACTTCCTGAGCATGTAAATTAATGGACATGCAGGGGCTGGATCACTCTTGCCTTGCCTGTGAGGGAGCTGCCTTTGAACTGGCTGGAGCTGCTCCTGGGAGGGATTTGGGGAGCCAGGCTGGGTACCTGGGCAGCCCTGGTGCCCACTGTGCCAGGTATGCCCTGTGCCAGGCACTGGGACACACAGACAGCTGAGTCTGGCTTAGGAGGGCACAGAGCTGGTGAGGATGGGCAGGAAGGGAAAATCACTGGCACCAGCAGGGATAGGCTGGACAAAACTACTTGTGAAAATCCCCTGGAATAGCAGGAATTTTGGGGTATTAGCTGCTCTGGATGTCACAGCTTTCTGAAGTGCTGAACAGGAGGAGCTGCTGAAGGCTGGCAGCTCCTGAGAGCAGGTTCCTTGGTGTTGGAAATCTGTGTTTAACTCCCTGTGCAGAAACTGTGCTTGTTCTTGCTGATGTTCACATAAAGCTTTCTGGAGTTATTTAGGGGTTTTTGAAAGAACGAAAAGGAAAGACTTCAGAAGTCTCAAAAAGATGTGGCTTAAAGAGAGGTTCTGCTTTCTTCCTCGGTTAATCAAGTAAAGGTTCATTACTTGAAATATCTTTATTCTTTCTGGAGATTTAGCAGTAGGAAATTCAGAAGTGGACATGGAATCCATAAACATTCAGTGAGAGAGAGTGTTTCATAAATGTATCCCTGCTATTTCCAAAAATAATATCAATTTATTTTTAGAGACTGAATAAAAATCACAGCTGGAGCACATCTGGAAATGGTGTGTGTGTTTCACAGCAGAGATTTTTTACACTCACAGCTGAACCTGTTGTGTCTGTGGGGAGGAATCCCATGTCCTCAGCGTCCAGGGAAAGCCACTTTCATCCTTGAGTGAGGCTGGGTGCCCTGAGCACATCAGGAGCTGCTGGTGCTCCCAAAACCTGAGTGGATGCCCCTCCATCTCCATGTCTTGGGACCTTCCAACCCAAACTTTCTGGGGATTCTTGTGGAGGAGCAGCTCAGCTGCTCTGGGCTGGCAGAGCTCAGAGCAGTCCCACTGAAGTCCATTTGTTCTGCCTGGGAGAAGTTTTCATTTTGTCCCGTGAGTGTCCAGGATTTGTGGAGGACTGGAGCAGAGACAGGTTCTGCTGCTCGTGGGTCTGGAAGCAGAGCCACGAGAGCAGCAGCTTTGTTGAGTTACAAGTGACGTGTTCAACAGGAGACCTCAGGAGGGATTCGGCGGATTCCGAGCGGAATGGGGCTTTCTTTTTTTTGGTCCCAAAACTCTGCAGTGCAGCTCAAAGCTGCCCTCTTCAGTCCATTGGAGCCCACAGCACCACCCTGAGCAAATCTGTGGGGCTTTTTGGATCCAAAAAGGAGGGTGACGACTTTGAACAGGCCCTCAACCCATCTGCAGACACTCAGCTCAAAGAGGGGATATTTCTTCACTCAGCAGCTTCCCTAAACATCCCAGCTTGACTCCTTGTGTTCCAGTTTTTCATCACAAACCAGATACTCACTTGTAGGGGTAAATCCTGTTTGGAAATTATGTTGTATTTCTTGGGAGCTCTTGTAGAGTAAGAATAGCCTTTGAAGGCACACTCTGTGGTCTGATCTCCAGTACCACAAGGAGTTTCACAAATAAAGCTGGAGGTTTTTGTGTGTCCAACTGACTGTCACGCAGGGATTTACCAGTTAATAACTATTTTATACATTTCACCTCCCTTCTTTCTTCTTCTCTCTTCCTTGTCCTCCCTCCACAGCCATATTTCACCTAATCCCTCCCAAAAGGGGAAGGGTGGAAGGAATAAATTCACCTTTCTTATTTTAACGTTGATGTGTGGAAAAGTAATTATTTTGTTTAAAATCCTTATTTGTTTGGACGAGTAGCTTCCTAATTAATCCTAATCCTTTCTTTGTGCTCCTTGAGTAACAATAACATCAGATTTGTCTGCAGTGATTAATGCCTTGTGCTTCCCATGTCCTCAGCTGAGTAATGATTTATAGACCAACATTCCCTGGTTTTCTGATAGTCAGATTTTTCTTATTTTCTTTTTTTCCCCCCTCACGTTGCAGTCTTTGGCATTTGCTTCTGTTTTCCAGGTGTAAGTACTGTGACAGGTCATTCAGCATTTCCTCCAACCTCCAGCGGCACGTCCGGAACATCCACAACAAGGAGAAGCCATTCAAGTGTCACCTGTGTAACCGGTGCTTCGGGCAGCAAACCAACCTGGACAGGCACCTGAAGAAACACGAGCACGAGAACGTTCCAGGTAGGAAGGGACGTGGCTGGGCCTCTCCCGGGGCACTGCAGGGAGAAGACACCGTGGCCTGGTCCCTCTGGCTCTTGGGAAGCCTCTCTGGAATGCACTGTTCCTTAAGGCTGACTTTGTAGGTGTGTGTGTGGAGTTCCAGAAGATAAATAGGCTTTGCCTTAAGATAAAAACTGAAGGAAGAAATTCCTGTGCTGAGGCCAAGTAAGTGATTTCCCAGCATAGGTAAAAAGGAAAAAAATTATGGAAGAGTTATAGGCAAACAGCTCTGCAATGGATAAGGGTTCTTAAATTGTATGTACTGTCCATAAATGCTAAATATCCCCTGTATTTCTCTCTGTAGTTCAGGTCTGGGAAACACAAACTTCCTTTGGGAGCTTTGGTCCATGACTTTTCTCTGGAATGTTGAATCCTGAGTATCCAGTGAGAGGACTGTTGATAACGTTCCTCCTTTGTGTTTCCTGTTACTGATGGCCTTGGCAGTAGCTGATGGTGTCTCCTGTTCTCTCCTTGTCTCTCCCCACAGTGAGCCAGCACTCCGGAGTCATCACCAACCACCTTGGGACCAGTGCCTCTTCCCCTAACTCGGAATCAGACAACCATGCACTTTTAGATGAAAAAGAGGATTCGTATTTCTCTGAAATCAGAAATTTTATTGCAAATAGTGAGATGAATCAAGCATCAACTTTAGCAGATAAAAGGTAGAGAAGAAAATAGAATTATCTGGTGACAGTACAGGCATGAACAGTAAAATAATATGAGAGAGAATTTAAGCTGGTTGGTAGAAGCTTCCTCCTCCTGATTGCTCAAAGGGAGATTGTTGGAATACAGCAGCACAGAGGAGGAGGAAAGCTGCCTGTCCCACAGATGTTACATTATAAGAGATTGAAAACCAGTATTTAAATTCAGAGTAGACAATATTGTAGTTTGAAAATCCTTGGGGTTGGTGTACTCTTACCATACTTACTGGCTCTTAAGACATAGTGAAGGCTGATTTTTAAATGCCTGAGACATTTGGTTTTCCTTTTTCTTACGTCTTAAATAATCTATATATGTATATAAATATGTGTTCATATATATATAAATATAACATTATCAAAGCACTGCAGTAGAAATACATGACTTACACATTTGCCCTCTTTTTTTTTTCTTTCCTCTCTCCTTCTTCCCCCCCCACCCCACCCTGTCCAAATATTTCAGGCCAGAAATCCAGGATATTGATGGCAATTCCCAGTGTCATGGACTAGCAAATGAGAAAACAGAAGATGTGGACGATGAGGACGAGGAACTGGAAGAGGAGGATGACGACAGCCTGACAGGGAAGTCCCAGGATGAGCCGGTGTCGCCCACGGCGGAGCCCCGGGGGGCGTTTGAGGATGAAGAGGACGAGGAGCCCACGTCTCTCACCATGAGCTTCGACCACACCCGGAGGTGAGGGGGCCAAGTGGGGCTCAGCCAGCTGCCCTGTGTCTGTGGTGGATCATCAGTGCTGTGGTTTTTTTTCCCAAGCCATGTCTCATGCCTCCAGTTTGATTTAAGCGTTCACTCGAGGTTCCATCTCACCATGGTGGGGGGCACGAAACAAGTGGACTGCAAGGAGAGTCTGGGATGAGGTGTGTGTCCAAGGCTGGAGGAGTCTGGATCAGGAGAACAGTTAGTCCAGCACAAAACCCAGGGTGCCACAGCTCAGCAGATATTGTCTCTCCAACACTCTGGCCAGGGCGAGGGGAGAGGAGTCTGTGCAACCCCTCTGGTGCTGCTGTGGCCCTTTGAGTCACTGCAAAACATCCTTGACTTCAAGTGGAGTTCTCAGAGCTGTGGCAAAAAGGGGATTCTGCCCCTCTGCCCCCTCAGGTGAGACCCCCCTGCAGAGCTGCCTCCAGCTCTGGGGAACAGCTCAGGAAGGACATGGAGCTGCTGGAACGAGCCCAGAGAAGGCCACCAAGTTGATTAGAAGGATGGAGCAGCTCTGCTATGGAGACAGGCTGGGAGAACTGGGATTGTTCAGCCTGGAAAAGAGAAGGCTTCAGGGTGACTTAATTGCAGCCTTCCAGTACCTGAAGGGAGCTACAAGAAAGATGGAGAGAGACTATTTATAAGGGCTTGGACAAGGGAGAATGGCTTCACACTTACAGAGAGAAGAGTTGAGACTGGATATTAGGAAGAAATTGTTTCCTGTGAGGGTGGGCAGGCCCTGGCACAGGCTGCCCAGAGAAGCTGTGGCTGCCCCATCCCTGGAAGTGTCCAAGGCCAGGCTGGACAGGGCTTGGAGCAACCTGGGCTAAGTGGAAGGTGTCCCTGCCCGTGGCAGGAGGTGAAAAGGGATGATTTTTAAGGTCACTTCCAACCCAGCCAGACCAGTCTGTGATTCTGTGATTCTATAAAAAGTGAAGGCCTCTTTTCCCCAAGGTCAGCCATGTCTGGGCAGCTTTAAAATTCAAGTTTCCTGCACACAGGACAGGCCCAGCTTTCTTTGTGCCTCGGTGGCAGCAGATGTGCCACGAGGCCAAGTAACACCTCAGCCAAGCCCAGTGCAGAGCCTCAGACCCCTGTAGCACTTGTTGCTCTCCACTTCTTCTCTGCTCCTTCCATGCCGTGTGGTTTCCGTGTCCGTGTGTCCGTCCGTTCACGCATGTGGCTCGTGAGCCCCCGTGGGTTGTGCATGCAGGCCCCGGGCGAGGGGTGAGCGCCCGGACGAGCTAACACAGGTCACCCCTGGTCATTGGTACAGGTGTATTGAGGAGGACGAAGCCGCCCTGTTAGATTTGGAGCAGATGCCGAATTTTGGGAAGGGGCTGGATCTTCGCAAAGCAGCCGAGGAAGCATTTGAAGTTAAAGATGTGTTTAATTCCACCTTAGACTCTGAGGCAATAAAACAGACTCTGTACAGGCAGGCTAAAAACCAGGTGGGTACCTACAGAACGTTTTCCAAGCTTGCCGCCAGCATGTACAGCAGGATCAGGGAGCAGCTGGCCTCCTGTAGCAAGGGCTTGTTATCCCCTTCTGGTGGGTTATTTCCCCCTTGCAGTGGTTTATTTCCCCCTTCCAGCCGGAATTCTCACATGGATCATGCATGAACTGTGTCTTGTTGCAACTAGACTGGAACAGAGAGGAAGGGACTGGGCATCACCTCCAGGACACCAGGTCGATTTATTGGTCAGCCCATGTGGTGAGAATGTGGCTGTGCAGGGAGAGAGAGGCATCTGTCTGTTTTTATCTGTCTGTATAAATGTTTCTGTGGCTCTTTATTTATTTATACTTTGGGACTGGTCTTCTGTTTGTAAACACCGAGGTTTGTTCTGCAGAAACAGCAACAAAATGCCCTTGGGTTTGGTTATAGAAGGTGGCATAGACAACAGCATTTGCAGGACTTGCAGTTCAGCACGTCTAGAGGGTCTCCTTGTTTATCTCCTTGATTTCTAAAAGCAAACCATACAAAAAAGGGGGAAAAGCCACAAAAACCTGTGAGCCAGACCAGTTCAGACCCACCAAAACCCCTCAAAATGGCATCACAGCACTTGCTGGAATTCTGAGAAAAATCTGGAGGTGCAGGGCAGGTCTGGTTTTGCTTTCTGGTTTCTCATCAGCCAAAACACTGTCTGGCTTTATGTAGTTGATCTCCTGATCCCTACACAAGGATCCTCACAGAAGAACTGTTCAATGAAGTCACCTCAGCAGGCTGGACTGCACAGAGCACACTCAGCCCTTGGTAGGGGCTGAGCACAGCTCTGGCCTCAGAGGCCCTTTCTGACTTTCAAGCAGCAGAATTTATCATAAAACCTATTTCAAATGTTCAGCAGAGCAGTAGTTTAGTGCTGCCACACAGAACGTGATTTTTGATTTATCACCCAAAACTTGTGAAATTCTTATCCCCCTTCATAGCAGGTGTTGGGAGTGAGGGAGGGTCTGCTGGAAGATTGAGCAGAGGGTTTTTTGGGGTGAAACTCAATTAAATACAAGCCAGTTGCCTGACTCTTACGTGTGTCCTGTCGCTAATATCCCAAATGCACTGACTCCAGGAACAACCTGCTCTTTTCCAACGTGTATCACACTGTTAGGTCCAGCCTGTGCTTGGCTGGGGAGGGGTTGTATTTTTGGCTTTTGAATCAGTTTTACACTTGAATCACAATAAGCAACTTAAATAATTCAGACCATATCTTGTGCTGGAAATGTAAGAGTAAACCAACATTTGTGTGAGCAACACAGCATTCCTTGGGCTTCCTTTTTAAGCAGGGAGCAGAGCATGGAATCACTTTGTGGGTCCGTGACCAGGCCTGGCTCAGGATGGGTCTGGGCCTGTAAAAGCCAGTGGGAATGATGGTCTCTCTGACTATCCCTACAACTGCCTGCAAACGGTGGCAAATCCGAGTATTTGGAGTGGTGGGTGCCACCCTGGTGCGTGGATGGGGATTTCTGGCTCTTAAAGGCCCTTAGCCCAGGGGTTGGTGCTGTGCCTCACTCCCCACACTGGAGGGTCCTGCGGGGGTGTTCACTCGTGTCCTCTGCCTTCCTCTCTCCCCCAGGCTTATGCAATGATGCTGTCCCTGTCTGAGAACGCTCCCCTCCACACGTCCTCCCAGAACTCTCTGGGTGCTTGGTTGGACATGGCAGGAGCAGCTTCAGAGTCGGGGACCTTTAACCCCATCAACCACCTCTGAGAGGTCCTCGAGGCACTGGCCAGAGTCCGAGCGGGGCGGCAGTGGTGCTGCAGCTATCCTTGCAAAACCCCAGCGAGCAGAAGATGGATGAGAGGGCCTCAGGGAGTCGTCTGAACTTTGGGCTGAGAAGGAAACCTGTCCCATCCGACCTACACGTCCTGCATTTTTATCTACCCAGTTTTCCTTTCTAATTTATCGGAATGAACCTCTCCCAAACTGGATAACCCTGAAGCAGCCCCAGGATTTCACTGTCTATAGGACCAGCAATGAGCAAGACACGAATTGCAACAGTGCAATCAAAGATTGGCCCCTCCAACCTTAGAAAGCAGTGTCACTGAGCCAGTTCAGCTGAGCAGGAGTGGCAGCTTGGAACCACACGGCAGCATTTCCCTTCCATCCAGCTGAACAGGGAAGTACTGAGGGAAGAGAGCCAGGGGTGACCTGTCCACTGACCCCCAAAAGAAACTTGTGCTCCCACAGAATACCATCCTGTCCTTTGTTCCCAACAAAACACTGCCATGGCACAAAGCTCCTCCGAGGCGAGGCCTGCGGTCATCAGATGCTCCGTGCAGGTCCCAGCTGAGACGTCTCCAGCCTGGAACATTGCTGAGGTCGGGGTGTGGATGTGGCACACAGATGTGGGTCATCACCCGTGCCCTGAGCTCCTTCTGCCTGTGCTGAGAGGGTTCCCCATCCCTGCCAGAGCCCGAGCTGCTGCCTGGGCTGAGAGCACCAGAGTGTCTGGGACAGAGCCATGCTCAGCCAGGGCGGTGGCACTGGCAGTGGTGGCACTCTGGAGTGATGGAGCTCCTGGCAGTGCTTGGAATTCCCCAAGCAGAGAGATCCCGGGGTGAACCCTTCCCTGGAGGCGTGTGCTGGGCGAGTCTCGCCTCACCTGGGCAACTTGGACACATCTTCTCATGTGTCATCTCCCGGGGGTTTTGGGGTGACATCACTCCGTGCTGATGGTATCTGGGGCTGTGGCAGAGGTCTCTGATTCACACCGTTGTTCTGGCCTGTTGGATGGTGCCTCTGCACCACCCGCTGCTGCTTGGCCTGTAATTTAAGTAGAAAGATTAACATTTCTGTGCTCCAGCAGCCTGAGGGTGCAGAGCCCTGCTAAGGCACAGAGATAAGAGTCGAGTTGTCTCTCCAGCTCTTAAGTTGCTCACAGATATTTTATGAGTGATTTTAAATCGCTTCAAAGCCTCATCTCCTTTGCTGATACACAGCAGCCTCCAGAAATCCTCTGGGCTCTCTGCCGTTCTCCACTGCAATTGCAGTCTGCTGTTGGAGCGGGGAATTTGGAGATAACATTGATTTATGGAATGATTATGAAGCCACATGCAGCCTCTCTGCTCACTCAGTATGGAAAAGGGCAGATGGAGGGTTCTGAGCCAGCCCGGAGTGGGAAGCCTCATTCCATCATGCCAAAACAACGGACCCACCTCCCCGAGTAAAGCAGAGGTGGTGGTGGCAGTGATCTCTTTGCAAAGTCAGCTTTGCTCCCAAGAGCACACCTGAGGCTGTTTTTAGGCAGCCGGGAGCCTCAAACTGTTCACGGAGGAAAACATCAAAGGTGGCTTTGGTGCAGAAGGAACAAAAGGTCAATTAGCAGCATCACTGTGTTTCCCAAGAAAATTTATCCTCCTTTTTTGGTTTTCCACAACATCCTGTGAAAGTGGCCCTGAGAACACCAGTCAGTGTAACCAAACTGCTTCATGTATTTGCACAAAGCTCTTGGGCAGGTGAAGCCCAAGAGCCAACACTGTCAGAGGAACTCCGGCTCTGGGGAGGGAAGGAACAGTCCCATCCTATCCCATCCCACCCCATCCCACTGTGGCAGCTGCAGCACAGTCCTGCCCAGGCACTTGGCCTTTAAATTATTCCCACAAGGGGCCAACTGAAAATAATAAAAGAATTGTTTCTTTTCCTGATGGAATTTATTTTAATCTGTATATAACTTGTAATTTGGGGCTAATTCCTTTCTTATTTTATTTCTTCCTTAACAGTATTTTTTGCAGTAGGTATCATTCTTGTGAAGAAATAATGTTAATATAAGTATGTAGTGAAGGACCAAAATTGTGTCATTAAGGTTGGATGTTGGATAACCAGGGAGTAGGAAGATTTTGTCCATGTGCCAAATGCCCCCCATCAGTCCTGCCAGTCGTGCTGCCAATTGTCCAGACAATCATCCCTTGGGTTCCCTTTGCCTTGGAGGAAGGTTCTAGTGATTGCCTTGGCTGGTTGGGTATCTGTGGTAGGGCCCATGGCATTGCCTGTAGTGCTGGAACAAGATCCAGGGTTTGCATGCTCAGATCCAATGTTCTGTCCATCCTTTGAGGAGGTTGGGATCGTGCTCTGCAGCACAGGGAGGGAACGGAGCAGCCAAGGGAGTGGCAGTGAGCTGGACACCAAAATGTGGGCCAAGTATCAAGAAATTCAAGTGCTATTGTGGGGATTTATTTGGGGTATTTATGGTCTTCCCATCTACATCTCAGCCCTGCTGCGTGGTTTCTCCAGAAGCAGTTTGTCAGGTCCTTGCTCTGACTGAGCTCATGCTGTCGCTGTCCCCGTCCCAGGGATGATCCTGACTCTCCACAGATCCCCAGGAGTGAGGGCTCCTGGTGCTGGCCAGGGATGGGGAGGTACAATCCAACCAGGGATTGAGGACATTAAAATATAGGGTTTAAAATCATGAAATGATTTTTTTTCCCTTCATATCTCCTGATTCAGTTTTCTCCCCACTTGCTCTAGCTCATGTCTCCGTGTGTTGTAGGATCTCCCAACTCCTCTGATTTAGCACTGATTACAAATTTTGATTTTTCTGGTAAAGGTAAAGAAACAGCCTCACTGAACCTCCTTTAGCTTTTGTTCTATTGCACTTGAATTGTGCTGCAGTTCACAGCAGGTGTTTAGGTTTCGGTTTGCTGCTTTAGAGAAGAATCCCGTATTTTCAAGGCCGTTTCCCAAGAGGTCTGTGTTGAGGATGTTCTGCCATCAGGGCACAGGTGGCTTCCCAGCAGTGGGGAAGGCCTGGGAGCTTGGGTGGGATGTGGAGCTGTGGTGCTCAGGGCTGTGCAGTGCCAAGGACACAGCGTGCTGGGGATCCAGGATCCCAGTGCAGTGTGGGCAGGTGAGGGTGGCAGGGATGGGATTGGGGCCGATAGCCGGGGCACCGCTCAAGGTGTGATTCAAACCAGAGCTTCCTGTGGGATCTACTTACTGAAGTACCTTCACATCCCACAGCCTTATTGCCACAACAGCACCGAGGAGAGCAGGGCAAGGCCTGTGCATGTTTGGTGTGGCCGGGCGAGGCTGGGAGCCGCTGGCTGCACCCGCCTGCTCGGCAGGGATGGAATCTCAGTGCTCCACAAGGGGCCCTCACTTTTTGCCTGGGCTGGAGCTGGTGGACATGGGTCTGGTGTCTGTGCATTCCCTGCTGCCTGCCTGCTCAGAGCTGGTGGTCAGTACCGGTGTGACCACTGTGGGTGGTGTGGAGAACGGGGGTTCTCCTGCAGGATGTGCTGAGGCACTGGGTGCTCCCACAGGATGTGTCGGGGTGCTGGGTTCTTCCACAGGATGTGCCCTTTGGTGCACAGGCTGCTCTGGGTGGGCACCTTTCCAGGGCGTCCCATGCCAGCCAGGTCCTGCCTCGCAGGACATCCCAGGGATGTGGATGTGCAGGGCTCCACGGGAGCTGCCCAAACCCAAACCGAGCAGGGCTGAACAGCAAACACGAGCCGAGTTTGCTCAGCTGCATTCTGGGACAAACACCCAGCCGGGGTTCTGTCCTGCTTAAAACAGTGTAGAGGAAGCTTTTGATTTCTCCCAAATCAGCACTTAGACGCTCAGTAGACGTTGTCAGAAACGGCTTCTCGTCCCCGTCGCGCGAAGCGTTTCGGAAAGCACTTGCACAATGACATGAACGCGTTTGACTCTAAGCATCAAAGCACTGGATCGTGAGCCCCCTCCCCTCCCCTCCCCTCCACCCAGGTCAATCTGCTGACTTACACTCGGTTTTTCCGTGCTGTACTGTGTGTGTGTGTGTGTGGCGGGGCGGGGGCAGCGGGACCCTGCCCGCCGCTGCCCCTGGGAGCACGACGGGCCCGTGGGCAGGAGCGACGGCGTCGCTCGGGTCAGCGCTGGCAACACAAGGGCAAAACCCTCTGCTCCTCGCCCATGGTCAGTAGTGTTCTCACAAAGCCATGAAACTTCTCCGTAGTGTTGAGTGATACTGTGACTAAAACGTTCTTGAATGATTCCGAGGTTCCTTTTTCTCTCTCTCTTCTGTCATTAATAATTCTTAGTACCACTTTGGGGAAAAAAAAAAAAAAAAGAAAAAAAAAAAAATGAAAAAGAAAAAAAAGGCAGCTTTGATTTCCAAATGTGCAATTCACATGTGAACAAAGTAATTCTGAAAGTAATTCTCAGTGTATTTTACATTCTCGTTGCTCTCTTCAAAGCAAGAGATGTTTTGCCCTGATGTCATTTCCAGCCTGCAGAAGATGTAATTTAAAACATATATATATTGTGCTTGCAAGAATCATAAATCTGTGCATCCTATGTCATTCCTTTTCCCATTGTTACAATACAGATATGATTTAGGTTGGATTTTTTTTTTTCCTTTAGACCTGTATAGTGTTTTTTTAAATCAATTGTAAATGTCTGGTTTTCATATAATGTTTAAAAAACATTGAGAAAGAGGATGGTGCTTGTTCCATATCATTCTTGATTGTATATTGCTTCTGTTATGTTTATAAGTAAACTGTGCATGACTTGTGTTTAGCAGTCATTATTGTGTCTGTTTGTGAAATTTTTATTAAAAAGACAAAAATTCCGTAGATGCACTTATTGTATATGTGATTAGATTTTGCGTCCGAGGCTCGAAGCCTCGAACTGCCAAGGAAGAAAGAAAAAGTGTTGGCAGTTATTAATTAATATGGAATCGCTTTGTTGGGAGCATAATGAAATAAAAGATATGAAGTGTAGAAAATAATTAAAAAAAAAAAGGCGATTTTACAACTTTCATTTTGATGCTTGTGATAAAAGACAAATGTACTTGTGTAGAGAAATTCCTTTAAAATAATGAATAGAAAAAGCTGATTTTGAGGTTAATGCTGTAGAATAGGAATGTATACCAAATGTAATCTTTCCAATGCTACAATGAATTTATACATGAGATTGATATGCAATAAACCTGTGTGCTTTTATAAGCAGTGGTCCCATGAGCTTCTTTTCGTGGAAGAGCAGTGGAGATGCCCCATCACACCCAGTAATGGGGTGTTGGGCCGTGTCACTGTCTGGCCTTGCTGCTCTGTGGTGCCTGTGTGGTGGGATATTGTGTGTGCGTGGTTTGGAATACTTGAAAAAGCTTCAAAAAATTAAATTATTCTGCCACACACACACACTTGCTGCCGAGATCAGATCACAGGATCATTGAGGCTGGAAAAGACCTCCAGGACCATTGAGTCCCCCCTGTGCTCGATGCCCACCCTGTCCCCCAGCCCAGGGCACTGAGTGCAACAGCCAGGCCTGCCTTGGACACCTCCAGGGCTGGGCACTCCAAACCTCCCTGGGCAGCCCCTGCCAAGGCCTCATCACCCTTTCCAGGGAGAAATTCCTCCTGATGTCCCACCTGCCCCTCCCCTGGCACAGCTGGAGGCCGTTCCCTCTGGTCCTGTCCCTGTTCCCTGGGAGCAGAACCCAACCCCGCCCAGCTCCCCTCTCCTGTCAGGGAGTTGCGGAACCAGAAAGCCCCCCCTGAGCCTCCTTTTCTCCAGGCTGAGCCCCCCCAGCTCCCCCAGCTGCTCCTGCTGCTCCAGCCCCTTCCCCAGCTCTGTTCCCTTCTCTGAACACTCTCCAGCCCCTCAGTGTCTCTCAGAGTGAGGAGCCCAGAAAGGGCACAGCCCTTGAGGTGTCTCAGCAGTGCAAAGCAGGTGCAGGTAGTGCTGCTGAGCTGTGTCACATCCCACTGAAGGGATGGAGCTTGCACAGGGAAGAGTAAGAGCATTCCAGGGTGGGGGATTGAGTTGGGATGAGGCATCAGTGAGCTGTCAGAAAATGTCAAGAATATTTCCTTTCACAACTGGAGCAGAGAGTCAGTGAACTATCCAGTGATAGCGGTCAGATGGTTCAGCGAGGGCCCTGGGAGCAGAAATGACTTGAAAGCTGGGTCTTTGAGCTAACAACACCATTACCCAACTGATGAATGGCCTCTGCTTCAAAAAGTCATTCATGGTGATCAAATGATGGTGTCCCACATACGGGATAATGACTCTTCCCTGGAGTTTGTGAGGGTTTCAGTCTGAGCTGAACCCTTGAGTGGGAGCCCTCTCCTCACAGTGACGGCTGGAGCCTTTCTCCTTATTAGCCCCGGAGGGAAAGGATAAAAAATCTATGGGATAAGAAAGCTGTGATAATAGAGTGATTGTCAGGCAGGCCTTGGAGCAGAGAGAACAGAGCCTTTTAAAGGAATATTGCTGACAAGTGGACTTTGTCATCCAGAAAGTACTTGAGATTCACCACAAACAAGTGAGAAAAAGGCTCCATTTGGGGAGTAGGGGGACAGAGCAGGGGGGCAAAAGAGAAGGTCAAGGAAAAGTCTGTTCCCAGTACAGACACAGAGCACTGTTGAGCCTGGCCTTACTAGGCAGCTGGGTTACTGCGCAGCTGTCAGCAGCCTGACCTTCAGATCCTCTTTCCCAGGAGCTGCAGCATCCTAAAGCATCCGAATACGATGTTTTGTGCATCTGGAGGGACAGCCTGGGGTTACCTTTGAACAATGAAAACTCAGCTAAGGCGAAGATCAGACGTGCCTTTAGTAAGGAACAGTCCCGGGGCTACTGAAATACCGAGTGTGTGTTGGTCAGACCCCGAGGACAGCCGGGTCACAGTCGTTTGTCATCCATTAACGTGATGGGAGGACGACGTCGAACAATCCCATCATCTTCAGTGACCTTGGAGAGGCGACTTTAGGGGATGGGGAATGCTGAGAGTCCAGGGGCTGGGAGAGACGCTTCCGTGGGAACACCTGCTTAAGACTAGTCAGGAGGCAGCGAGATACAGCGAAGCTAATGAGTTTTTCACTCCCAGGAAGCAGGGCCGGACCCGGGACAGGGCGCGGAAGGGAGCAGAGCGCTGCTCGGAGCCGTGCTGTGCGGGGCACCGGCTGCGAGCTCCGAGCGGCCCCAGCACCACTCCCGGTACCTCCGGGGGCCGGCCCGCTCCCTCCCTAGCCCCTCCCCAGCCCTTCCCCGGTCCCGCCCCGATCCCTCCCCGGCCCTTGCCCGTCCCTCCCCTGGCCCGCCCCGTCCCGTCCCGCCCCGCCGCCGCCGCGCTGGCTCCGAGGGGCGCGGGTAGGTGCGGGACCGGGGGGGTCGGGCCGGGGCGCTGCGGCGGGGTCGGGGACGGCGGGAGGGACCGGGACAGGGGTCAGGACCGTCCCCGGGGCTCCCGGGGGCCGGGCGGGGGTGGCCCCGGGGAGCGGCTCCGGGCGCCTTCCGGGGCCGCGCCGGGACCGGCACCGGCGCTGCCCGCGGGTCGCGGAGTCCTGCGGGGCCAGGGAGGGTTGGGCGCACCCCAGGGCTGTGTCCGGCCGTGCTCCCAGCCCACTCAGAACCCTCCCCGGGGCACACGGGGATGGAAGCGCCGAGTGACGGGGCTGGAGCCTCGGCAGGCTGTGCCCATGTGCTGCCCTGGGCAGTGACATGGGGGGGGCGACGCCCTGCGTGGCCACCAACCCTCCACCCAGCACCGAGGGCTGTGGATGCTGCAGCATCCAGAGCCTCTGGAACTGGGCCTGTTTATAAGCTTCATCCTCAGCCAGGATGGGGTTAAGAGCGGAATGTGGCGCTTTCCTCATCCCAGGACACTTGGCAGACCTCTGGCCAAGAGGCCTGTGTCCTGCATCCGAGGACGGGGGAATGAGCAGCATCTCCATCAAATGAGCTGTTGTTAATGGGTCCGTGTTGTCCTTGTGCCAGTCATTGATGCAGGGAAATGCACGGTCCAGTCTTGGTTTGTTTCCTGGTCTGTGGCCTTTGAAAAGGAACAGCTCGGAGATGGCACACAGTGGGGTCAGCTGAGGGCAATTAAACCATCGTGTCTCCTGAAATTATGTAACAGGGTGGGCGTAAAAGGCTGTGCGTGTTCCATTGGTGCACAGTTCCATAGGTGCATGGTCCCATAGGTGCACAGTGCGTGGGGTGGCACAGGAGAGGATGATTAAGCTTAGCCCTGACCGAGGAGCTTCGGGCAGGGGTTTTTGTGGGCGGTGTGGAGCCGCTCCTCGGAGCAGCATGGGGCAGGTACAAGCTTGGAGGAGCCCAGGGGTCACAGGGAGGCGCCGCTGGGGATTTCACAGCACTCAGCCTGGGGGAGGTGGAATTCAGGAAGGTGAGGGCTGGCCATGGTGCCTGGTGGCACCCCCAGTCCCTGAAGGGGATTAAGGGGACACGGAGGTGTGGCAGCAGTGGTGCTCCAGGCCTGCCCGGCTGCTCGCTCAGGTCTGAGCCTGCCCGGTGCCTGCGGCACGGCCTGGCTGCTCCCAGAGCCCGGCCACATCCTGAGCCGTCTGCAGGAGCCGCCAGCCTGGCCCTGGCACGTGGGTGGCCCTGAGAGGTGCATGGGCAGTGAGAGCACCATGAGTGTGTCCAAACAGGCTCTCCCTGCGGAGCACTCAGGGAAGGCGCAGGCTGAGTCCTGGGCTGTCCCGAGGTTCCCTGTGGCTCAGCGTAAATTCCCACTGCCTTATGGGAGGTGCTCAGCTGTCTGTCTGTCTGTCTTCCTCAGCTCTCTGGTTCCCTGGGCCGCCGCCATGTCTCGGAGCCCCCCTGGCAGCTCTGTGGATGACAAGACCTTACTCCTGGAGTACCGATGCCACCCCGTGCGGCCGGAGACCCCCAGCCTGGCCGCTCCCCCCAGGAGGCACAGCAACTCCAGGGCGCCCGATGCCGCCCCGCTCTCGGCACTGGGCTCTCCCCCCTCGGCCGAGCCCCGCCGCATCATCCTCAGCACGGAGAGCCCGGCCGCGCTGAAGGTGGGCACCCAGCAGCTCATCCCCAAAAGCTTGGCTGTCTCCTCCAAGCCCAAGAACAGCCCCTCCCGGCACCAGAGCTTCGCGGCATCGGGGGCGAGCCGGGAGCCCCTGAGCCCCGACCCGAAGCGGGCAGTCGTCCCCATCGTGTCCCTGGAGGCGGAGGATGAGGAGGATGGTGGAGGGGCCCTCAAGCGCAACCTGAGGAACATGTCCTACCGCGCAGCCATGAAGGGCCTGGGCGCGGAGCCGGAGCCGGCGAAGGCCGTCCCCTCGCTGAAGCCCCTGTCAGAAGAGGGCAGTGCCCCGCCCGACCGCAGCCCCGGCAGGAACAAGGTGGGTTTGGCACCTGCTGGCACCCCGTTGCTGTCAGGAAGGGATGGGATCCCACTTCCCTGGTGCTGCCAGGGGAACTGCCAGGTCTTTCTCCCACAGCTCTGGTTGGCTGTGGAGCTGGCAGGCCTTGCTGAGCCTGGTGACACGACTGCTGCCTTGGGAAGCTCCGTGTCACCCGCAGATGCTGCAGGTCCCTGGAGAGCCTGGGAGTAGCTGACATGGCTCTCGTGGGGAGTGGAGTGGCTGCTCTGGGGCCGCTTGGCAGGCGGCTGCGGGATGTTTGCAGGGTGGGGCTCGTGTGAGCAGCTCTAGTTGTACACAAACGTGGGTGAAGCAGGTCTGGGGAAAGGGAGACTCCAGAGAAGGCAAAGTCCAGGTGCAAGGGAGATGTGACAGGCAGCGGTGTAACTACAGAGTGTGACCCTGATAATGCGAGGTGAAAGCTGAGTCACCTGGGGAAGGCAAACAGAGCTCAGACAAAAAGCAGGCTGAAAGAACAGGGTGGTGTGGGCTGACTGGCACAGGTAACTTCCCCCATTCCTGAAGGAGTTTTCCCAGGGGCACAAGTGCAGTAACCACAGCGTGTTCTCCTGTTCCCCTTGCAGAGAACCCTTGGGCGGAAGCGGGTGCAGAAGCGTGGCGGCTCGTTCAAGGACCGTGAGTGCTGCCTGCGGGTCCCCTCTGCTCGTGGGGCACTGGGCCCTGCTCAGCAAAGCAAATCCCTGCAAGGCCCTTTCCCATGTGTGCTGCTGCTTGTCCCTGGCTGAGGGCCATGGCTTTTGTGGAGCATTGCCGCCCTGCTTTCCCACTCCCAGGGCGGATGACACTCGGGTTGCTGCCGTGCTTGCAGCTGGACTGCTCCCAGCTCAGTCCCAGGGAAAATGGGAGAGCTGCGTGCGGTGCCCTGGCTGCAGGAGGCTGTTGGGAGTGGGAGCTGCTGGGTAATCAGTGCTGTGCAAAGTCCAACCTCGGCAGGGAGGTGCCAGCCCGGGCTCGTGGCTGGCGGGGCGAGGCGGCCCTGGTGGGAAGGGAAGCCGTGGGCCGTGGCTGGGAGAGGCTGCGCTGACCTCGTGCCTTTTCCTCTGCAGAGCCCCGGCTGTATCAGGAGATCCGTGAGAGAGGGCTGAACTCTGTCAGCCATGAGTCAGACGAGGATTTGCGGGAGGAATCCATCCCAGAGGAGCCATCCCCGCTGGGTGCTGCTATCGTGGTGCAGAGCTACCGCCCGGCGCAGGTGACCTGGAGCCAGCTCCCGGAGGTAGGGGCAGCAGCCCAGCCCCAGCCCAGAGGGTCTGAAAGCTGTGAGGGCATAATTCCACAGCGTTAGTCTTTGCAGCGGGATGTTCTGGGCTGTCCAGCCCTGGCTGGGACATGCAGGTTCTGTGTGGGTGATGATGGGCAATGCTGGTGGAGTGTGATGGTGTGCAGGGCGATTGCGCGATGGGGTGGCTGGCAGAGCCCCTGACCGCACTAGAGGGCGTGCAAGGACCGTCATTCCTGCTCATCCCAGCCTCTGTCCCGCAGGTGCTGGAAGCAGGCATCCTGCAGAGGATCTGTCCTGAGGAGCGCAAGAGGCAGGAGGTGAGAGGAGCCAGGATGTGCCCAGCAGTGCAGCGGAGACACCACAGGCTGTGGGACTGTGGCTGTGTCAGGGGTCAGCTCTGAGCAGGGCTGGGCTCAGCTCGAGTTCAGCTCAGTTCATGGTGCTGCTGTTGTTTCCAACTACTCTGGGACTGGGCAGTGCTGGAAGGGCTTGGTGGGGAAACAGGCAGCTCCAGAGGATGGTGATGGGAAATAGCCACTGGAAGGGAAAACATCTGAAGTCATTGTTAACTTTTTCATTAATTTTTATTATTAATTGTAATTTTGTCAGTGTAATAATCTGTGCCTTATCAATAACTTGAGTATCATCCTAAAACATGCTGAGGTTATTGGTGTTGGCCAGGCCATGCATGAGGTGATAAAAGGAATGCACCAAACTGTTGGGAGTCAAGTCATTTCCAGTGGCTTTGTGCCAGCTGAAAGTAAATAAGATTTAGCAGGTTTTAATTCCCTGCTTTGCTCAATCAGTTTGTGCTGTTGCACCTTCCCTGCCCTGCTCTTTCCAGGCAATGTTTGAGATCATCACTTCCGAGTACTCCTACATGCACAGCCTGAGCATCCTGGTGGGCCACTTCATGCGGTCGGAGGAGCTGAGGGAGACGATGACGCAGACGGAGCATCACCACCTCTTCTCCAACATCAGTGACATCCTGACCGTCAGCACCAGGCAAGGGGGGCATGGCAGGGGCTGAGATCTGGGAGCTGGGGAGCAAACACTTAGGGAGCAGGGGCTGGGCGAGCTGTGTCCATGTGGGAAAGCAGCAGGAGGAGGATGCAGCAGCCCTTGGAATGGCTGCGGGGGCGTTGAGGCCTTGCAGCTTCCCAGCGGGGCAAAAACTAATCCTACGGAGAGCTAAAGTGGAGGAGGGACCCTGTGCAGGAACAGAGGAAGCGCCTGTGTCTGGGGAAGATGTCTCAGCTGCTGGAGCTGTCCTACCAGAAGGGATCGGGGCCCCATCTCCACTGGGAAAACTGGGCAAAAGCTGCAGGGGAAACACCCTGTTTGTCTGGCCCTGAGGAGTCATGTAGTGAGGTTGTTTAAATTCTCTCCCCAGCTTCTTTGAAGACTTAGAGAAGCGCCACCAGGAAAACCTCCTGATCCCTGACATCAGTGACATAGTGGAAGAACACGCCTCAAACCACTTCAATCCCTACATCAGTTACTGCTCCAATGAAGTCTATCAGCAGAGGACACTGGACAAGCTGCTGTGAGTACAGGGCTTGGGCTGGCCAAGAATTGCCTCTGAGGGGCTCTGGGCTTCAGGGATTGCAAAGGTCAGTAACTCCTGTGTGGTGCATTAGGGACACGTGTGGAGACTGTTCAGATCGTGCTGGTGGTACAGGTCAGGTTTGAGTCCACTGTTGGTACATCTGTGGCTTCACCACCTTTTGCTGGACTCACCATTTATATTTGGGTGCTTTTGCACCACCCACTGAGGGGTTGGTCCCTGTTCCACCCAGCTGGGTGCTCTGAGGCCAGCAGAGTGACAACGAGCACCAGAGGCAGTGCCATCACCACTCTGCATTTCCTGTGCATGGAGAGCTGCTGGAAAATCTCGATTATGGAAGAACAGAGTTAATGGAGCTTTCTTGTCCTGTTCCAGAACCACAAACCCCTTATTTAAAGAGACCCTGAAACAAATTGAAAGGAAACCAGAGTGTGGAGGCCTACCAATGATCTCATTTCTCATTCTCCCTATGCAGAGGGTAACACGGCTTCCTCTGCTCTTAGATGTAAGTAGTCACATGGTGGCATTGCTTAGTTCCTCTGAAGAGGTGACTGTTACTCCCTTCTTTGGTCTGTGCTTGGACTTCCATCCCTTTGGGACCTAGGCCAGGATGCTGAGCCTGTATTCAGGATTTAGATCCAGAGTGATCTCTTTCTTGGGGGTGTCAGATGTGCATTCTGAAGCTCTGAGAGTAACACTTCATGTCTTGGTGCCACCCATCTGAGTAACCTGAGGTTCTTTGTGCCATATCTGGGTTCCAGGGTGGGGTGGCACGAGTGTCCTGCTTGAATTCTTCATGGAAATCTGCTTTAAATTGCAAAGCTGTTGGAATGGGATTTCCAGTAAATGCTCCCAGTCTGTGGTGGCTGCAGGGGTGAGGGCCAGGGGGCTGCTGTGGTGCCAGTGGTGGTCAGGCACTTACCAGACATGAAAGCCCCAGCAGGAACCAGTTCACAGCTCCAGCTCTGTTAAACCTTGCTCTGGCCATGTGCCTGTCCCACTGCCAGGCCGAGCGTCAGGAATGAGCCCATTTCAGATCCTGAAATCCCAGGGAAGCAGCTGGTGCGCCGTTCCCTGTGGGACAGTGTCACTAAAGCGCCTTATCTTGGAATTCTAGACTGTCCGTCAGCAAACAAACGCACGCACTGCAGCGTACGGAGCTGCCACCCGAGCTCTGAAGGCCATCAGCAAGGTGAGGCTGCCACATCTCCACCTCTGCTCCTGCCAGCACAGCCTTCCAGTGTGCTGCTCCAATCCTGACATTCCAGCCTCTCGATTTCCTCCCAGCATCGGTTCACCTGAGACTCCTCTGCTCCAAACAGCTGCTGGATGAGAACCTCTTCTCCCTCCTCACCTTTTTCACCTGATCTTGCTTTTTCCTTTTCCTTGTCCTCTTCTCCTCTTTTCTCTTTGGGTCACCTTTGCCCTTCTTTTTGGTGCCATCATCTCCATGAACCTCTTCCTCTTGGAAGATCCCTCCAGGTGCCACAGGATGGCACCTGCTCACCGAGGGCAGTGAGAGAAGCTGAGAGCCAAGTGTGGAGGGCAGGAGCAGTGGCAGTTGTGAGTCATGTGCTGTCTGTGCTCCTGGATCTCATCTCCCTCTGGTTTCCCATCCCATGGTCAGTCACAGAGGGCAATGGGCCACAGACATTGTGACCACCAGTGTGCCACTGCAGACTCTTCCTTTTGTCCCCCAGAAGACCAGCTCTTGGCAGTGTGCTCCTGCAGCTCCTGGTCTGTCCTGCTCGCACATCCGAGTGTTGTCCTCCCCTCTGTCCGATTGTCCCTCTTCCTGCCTTTAGCTCCTCTCCTCAGATGATTGATTCTTGCTCTTCATGTTGCTCCTTGGTGAAGCTTTATTTTGGTGCAGGTTCACTTCAGTCCTTCTCCAGGCAGAGCACATGTGGCATCTCTGTCTCCTGGAGAGCATCCCATTGCCTTTTCCCAAACCTGGCTTGAAGCCTGTGCCGGGATTTGGCTGCCTCTCCTGCTCAGGGAATGGGGGCAGCACTGGGACTGATGCAGCAGATGGATGGGCTCAGCATCCAACCCTTCTCCACTTCCCTTGTGATGTTTTTCTCTTCCCAGCTGGTCAAGAGCTGCAATGAGGGAGCTCGGGCTATGGAGAGGACGGAGCAGATGTACACCCTGCAGAAACAGCTGGAATTTGGGAAGAAGAAGGTGAGCTCTTGTGGAAGTAGTGGTGGGAAGTCTTTTGGGGTGTGCTGTTCAGGCAGGTCAGGCCTGTCCTGGGAATCCTTCTGGCAAGCCTTGACTGGACTGTTGGATGCAGGCAGCTCTCTAAAGGGCTGTAGAAAAGCCATGACACTGTCACCTGCTGTTGCAGGCTGCTTGGCTGCTCTGCTTTCCGTGTGGAAATTCTTTTGGAAAAGATGCTTAAAAACACGTGGTGTGTCCATCCCAAGTGGCCTCGGGGCCACTGCAGGTTCACTTCTTGACTTGGTGTTGCCTGCTGCTGGTGAAAAGGGCAGTAAGTCAGCCCTGTCCTGGCCCTGTTTCAGCCTTTCCCGCTGATCTCCGCGTCCCGCTGGCTGCTGAAGCGGGGGGAGCTGTACCTGCTGCTCTCGGAGGAGCCCGGGATCTTCCGCCGCGGCGCCGGCCGGCTCTGCTACCTCTTCTTGTTCAACGACGTCCTCATCATCACCAAGAAGAAGAGGTAAGGCCGGGAGGAGGGCCCTTCCTTTCTCTGGAAAACAACTAGGGGGTTAAATCTCCATTTCCAGAGCAGCACACACCCGAGAAATGCGCGAGATTTCCCGGGTTTGACCTTTTTGAGGCGTCTCCTTGTCAGCCAGACGGGGAGTGCCCAGTCCCACTGCCCTTGGGTTTGCCTCTGTGCAAGTGCCCAGAGCCGTGTCCCACCCTGGGCATCACCTCATGTCTTGGCTGGGGTGGCTGCTCCCGCAGTGCTGCTGAGCCTCATCCTCCAGGCTCGGAGCAGGGAGGGAGCTCGGAGCCCACACGGCTCCAGCGCTGATCCCGTCTGTGCCGCAGCGAGGAGAACTACACGGTGATGAACTACGCCACGCTGGACCAGGTCACCGTGGAGAAGGTGGAGAGCGCGGATCCACCGTCCCCTCCTCCCGGGAAGGCCGGCGGGCACCTGCTGCGGGTGGTGCTGGAGAAGGACAGCGAGGGCCGGCGGGAGGAGATCGTGCTGTCGGCAGAGACACTGTGAGTGGCCCCCTGGGACTGTGCTGGGTGCTCACTCTGGCTTGTGGGATGAACTGTGCCCTGGAAGTTCCCTGAGGCTTCTGTGGGTTTTTCCCTCCCCTTTCTTCCTCCCAGAAATGGGGACGTGCACAGGCTTCTCCCTGGCTCTGTTTCTTTCCCTCTCTTGGGTTTCCCATCTAATTCCTGTATCAGCTTCCCCTGTCCAGATGAAGCAAAGCACCTGGGCTGTGTGCACAGCTTGTGAAGTGCCTTTACATTGAATGCTCTAATCAAATGCTTGTCCAGTCTGACTGCCCTGGAAAGCCTTCATCCTGCTGGGAATGTCCCAGCTGCTGCTGGCAGCAGGGATGCTGTCCCTAAGGCTTCCTCTGATATGGGCTGTCCCTCTGGTAGGAGTGACCGGGCCCGGTGGATTGCGGCGCTGATGCACCGAGAGAAGGAGAAGCCTGACACCACTCCCAAAGGAGGTACCACATACCTGGCTCTGCCAGGATTACCTGTTACAATGGAGCACTGCAGGCACAGGTTTGTGCCTCGTTCTCCTCTCCTGCTGGAAAAGGAGCTGAGGACACACGTGCTGAGGGAAAGAACTCCAGTACCATGCCTTGTTCCTCAGGAGTTACCTCACATTAAGTTATCAGTCACAATTAACCTTAAATACATTTCCTGGGAGGCACAGTGGAATTCCAGGAATGTTGTAAGAGGAGATCTGACAAGCTGGGAGGGATAAGGGGCAGGGACAGGAAGGGAGTGTGCTGTACTGGGGTGGGCAGCTGGGGGGTCACAGCCGGGCAGGGGGCTGGCCACACGTGCCAGGCTGTGGCTCCTGGCCGTGCCTTCTCACTGGTCCCTGCTGTCCCCTGTCCTCCACAGACCTGAGCCAGGTGGAGATCACCCGCGCCTACCTGGCCAAGGAGGCAGATGAGCTGTCCCTGCAGCAGGCAGACGTGGTCCTGGTGCTGGGGGGAGAGGATGGTGAGTGTTGGCGAGCGCGGAGCTGCGGCCGGGACAGGCTGACTTTAGCAGAGCTGGGGGGGGAGCCTTCAGTGACCTCCGTGAACTGGGACTGCAGCGATTACAGAGGTTTCCAGGGAGCTGGTGCTGTGTCCCAGCAGGTGACAGTGGGCTCCAGGGGCTGGCAGAGGTGGCACTGCCATGGGCAGCTGCTGTGTTCCTTAGGGGTGACTCCTGTGTGCAGGCTGTGGCTGGGAGAGACCTCAGGAGTCAGAGAAAAACACCCCAGAACAGGCAGTTAATCAGAAATCATCTCCCCAGCCAAGCTTTCCCTGGATGCCTGCAGCACCTCTGTGGGAAGGGGGTGGTGCAGCCCCATTCCATGTGCACCCCGGGATCCATGGTTCTTCCTCATGCCTGCCAGCTGCTCTGTTCTGCTCGCAGGGTGGTGCTGGGGCGAGCGGCTGCGGGACGGGGAGCGGGGCTGGTTCCCGCAGAGCTGTGCCCGGCAGATCACGAGCCGCTTGGCCGTGGAGGGCAACGTGCGCCGGATGGAGCGGCTGCGCATCGAGACCGACGTGTAGGCCGAGAGAGACCAGAGAGACCCCTCTGGGGGGCTGTTCATGGACCTCCAAACCTCTGCAGACTGAGCCCGTGGCGAGAAGGGAGCAGGGAGCCTTCTGTGTGGAACTGTGTGTGTCTGATGGCCCCAGGCTGGTCTTTGCACCAGCAGCTCCTTCGCGTGGGACCCGGCGCCCGAGCGCTCCCGGCACCGCCGGCACCGGTGACCCGGAACAGGCTCCGGGAGCAGCCCAGGAGGTGGCTCAGGTTGGAAAGGCTGTGGCTGTTCTCGGCTTGGGGAGGTGCCTGCGCTGCCATCTGTCCCTGCTGTCCCCTGGGCCAGCGCCCGCTGGCAGCAGCTGCACATGGGAGGGGCTGGGTTGAGGGACAGCACACCTGAACCAGGACTTTTTAGGAACTTAAATCTATGCCCAGCTTACTCCTTGACCCAGTTTTTCCTCCTGCTGCTATTTCTTTTCTTTTTCCCTCTCCCCCCCCACCCCAATAATTCTTGGCCCCTTTGGGCACAGCCGTGACCTCCACAGGTGAGGTGATTCTAAACCCCTGGATGCCAGAGTTGTTCCCATGGAGTCAGCTCTGGGGCCAGGAATGGGATGCTCCAGCCAGAGGGGGAAGCAGGGGCCTGACAAGGAGCAATGCTGCAGCTCCCACCTGCCTTTCCCTCCTCCCAAGGCCCTGCTCAGCCCCTCCCACCCCATGCAGGGGACAAGGCAGCTACGATTTCGGGGTGAGATGGCCCCACACACTGTCAACTTTGGATTCACAGGGGCAGCATCGATGTAATGTCTATCCTGATTAAACTGTGGATTAATTGGGGTAACAATAAATTCCTGGATCCCACCAAATGCCGTATTTCCTGTTAGTGGGGACTGGTGTCACTGAGCACAGCTCTGTGTCACTTCCAAGGAGCCAGATTTTCCTATTCTGAGCCCTAAAAAGAAGCTTCAGTCTGCTGGTGGCATCACTGTGGCCTCTGCATGTTCTCAAATATATATGTGCATCTCAGGAAACACCCTCCAGAGCCCTGACTAACAGTCTGCTGTCACCTGGAGCAGATTTCAGGTTTATTTATTTGACTGACACAAGTTAAATAGAAACTCAGCCAGGCTTCCTGTTTATTTCCCTTAACTGTGGAGAAATTAACATTTTTCTTCAGTGCTAAATTAAAGGAGATATGATCAAAAGAGAGACAGAACATGAAAAGAGGAAAAACAATTTGTATTAAGAAATATGAACAGGGAAAAAAAACACATTATATAAAAATACAGGTACAGGGTTATTGTGGTCCCATGCTCAGACACATGGTTTGCTCTGAGCTTCCAGGAGTGACAGAACTGCAGGAGCAGGATGGGATGGATCTATCCTCACACTTAAGGCTGTTTCCATGTTCTCCTGGAGCAGGGCCATTGAGGCAGAGTGTTTTTCCTCCTCCTCCTGCACTGGGGGAGCTGGTGCTGGTTCCCAACCAGCCAAGGCAATCACTAGAACCTTCCTCCAAGGCAAAGGGAACCCAAGGGATGATTGTCTGGACAATTGGCAGCACGACTGGCAGGACTGATGGGGGGCATTTGGCACATGGACAAAATCTTCCTACTCCCTGGTTATCCGTCATCCAACATCCAACCTTAACGACACGATTTTGGTCCTTCACTACATACTTATATTAACATTATTTCTTCACAAGAATGATACCTAATGCAAAAAATACTGTTAAGGAAGAAATAAAATAAGAAAGGAATTAGCCCCAAATTACAAGTTATATACAGATTAAAATAAATTCCACCAGGAAAAGAAACAATTCTTTTATTATTTTCAGTTGGCCCCTTGTGGGAGTAATTTAAAGGCCAAGTGCCTGGGCAGGGCTGTGCTGCAGCTGCCACTGTGGGGTGGGATGGGATGGGATGGGATGATGGGATGGGATGGGATGGGATGGGATGGGATGGGATGGGATGGGATGGGATGGGATGGGATGGGATGGGATGGGATGGGATGGGATGGGATGGGATGGGACGGGACTGTTCCTTCCCTCCCCAAAGCCAGGGTTCCTCTGACAGTGTTGGCTCTCGGGCTTCACCTGCCCCAGAGCTTTGTGCAAACAGACAGAGGGGCCGGGCTCAGGGGCTGTGGGAGCCCTGGCCGGGGCGATGGTGTTGGAGCAGTGGCACTGGAGTGGTGGCACTGGAGTGGTGGCACTGGAGTGGTGGCAGCCGAAGCCTTGCCATGACTCCATACCCATCACCAAGCCAGCTGCTTTTCCTGCCTCTATCCCTTCCCAGCCCCTGGCTCTGACTAGAATGTAACTCGGGGTCCAGGGCTGGGGGAGGACACTCCAATAGGGATGTGCATTGACCAGGTGGTGAAGTGCTTTGTCTCCACACAATATCTTTGATTACCAGACTTAAGCTTCCTTTTTGGTGGAGTAGGTGACACGGGCAGCTCCATGGGCTGATAAACTCCTGGCATGAGAAACAGGCTCCCAGCACAGCCTGCACTGTGGGCAAGGAGCCCAACACGTTCCCCCACAGCAAATAGTTATTTACAGTAAAACACCACTGCAAATTCAAATTAAAAAAATAATTCAAGTGAGGCAGTACATCCACAGGAGGCCCAAGCCCAGGAGAGCCTGGCATGGTCAGCCATCAGTCCTGACAACACTGTGGTGCAGCTTCCCATAAATATTGGTGCATAAATACCTGATTTGGCCCACAATTTCAGCCCCCTCCCCAAGCCCAGCACCCAGAAGATGAAGGCCAGCGATGTGTCACGAGCTGCCAAAGTCCACTGTCCCCTGACCAGAACTGATCCCTTCTGAACTGGTCCTTCTGGTCTCTGGCTGAAGGCCTGCACTGGTGTTGGCACACTTGTCCTCACGGCCAGCCCGTGCTGGCACAGTGAACTGGTTATACTGGGCACTTCAGCCTCGCTCAGACAACCCCAAAAGCAGCAGCTGGGGCTGTGAGGAGATGAAAGCTGCTCATGTGGCTCATAAATGAGTTCCTTAACAGGTCATTGGCTTCTTCAGGTGGCTGCTTGGTCCCAGTGAGGGAGCAATCCCAGGAGCAGGATCTAGTGCTCGGCCAGCCAGAGCCCCTCCAGGGGTGGTGGTGACCTGGTGGGTGCCAGGGACTGTGTGGCTGCAAGGGAAATGGGACAGGTCAGCCCTTGCTGTGACAACCTGCTGCAGGGTTGACCCCCCCCGAGCACTGGCACTGGGTTTGCACTGGGATTCCCCCCAGGCACAGCCGCTGGCTCTCGCTGGCACCCGCATTTACCTTCCCGGCACGTGGGTCCCGTGTGGCCGTTCAGGCAGAGGCACTGCCCGTTCCGAGCGTTGCAGTAGGAGCTGCTGGGGGCACACTGGCAGGTCAGGTGGCAGCCAGGGCCGAACTGGGTGGGCAGGCAGTCTGCAGAGGGTACAGAGGTGCTCAGGTCTTTGCCTGTGGCAGCATCCAAGCAGGAATGTCCTCAGACCTTTCCAGGGATGCAGCAGGCAGAGCTTGCAGGGGAGGCTGGGAGTACAATAGGGCAGAGAGGTCCTTGCCCTCCCCCCTGCCAGCCTGGCTAAAAACAGAGGCTGGAGAGGCGAGCACTGCTGTTCAGGTGCCCTCTTGCTTGCACCAGAATGAAAACCCCTTCCGTGACAATTCAGCTCTAACAAAAGGGACTTGCATTCATTTCAAAATAGAGTTTCAAGCTTACAAACACCCCCGTCTCACACAGTCCCCTCCCTCACTGCCCCTCTGTGGCTCAGCTCACCTGCAGCACACGTGGGGCCGGTTTTCCCGGGTGGGCACAGGCACTGCCCCGTGGCCGGGTCACAGGGCACGTCACCAGCACAGTCACAGAGCCGCTGGCACCCCTCGCCGTACGTGCCTTCCTTGCAGCCTGTTGGAGAGGTGGGATACATCACCTGCCCCTGGCTCAGCCCTCGGGGTCCCGCCGGGCAGGGCAGGAGGGCGGGCGGTACCTGCGTGGCAGCGCTCGCCGCGGAGCCCGGCTGGGCACTGGCAGCGGCCGCTGGCCGGGTCACAGCCCGCCCCGTGCTCACAGTCACAGCGCTCCCGGCAGCCCACGCCGTGGAAACCCGCGGGACAACCTGGGATGGAGAGAGAGATCATTGGAGCACAGGTGGGTGGAACTGAGCCGAGCTGCAGCAGAGCCTCGGTCAGCCCAGCAGAGAGAAGCAGTGAGCTTTTCTCCCCGAGAGGGGCCCACGGTCACAGAGCACCATGTTCAGCTCTGCAGTTTGCTCAGTGCCCAGCACTCCTGGGCAGAGGGGATGCGTGTGCCCATCTGCCTTGGGATGGCACCGCTGTGCCTGTGGGGTCACGCAGAGGTCAGAAATCACCTCTCTGCTGCCGCTGCCTGGGAAGGCTTTGCTGAGAACACCAGTGGAAGAGCCCACTGGTATCTCAGAGCCACGTCCACGGTCCTGCCCTGTGGATTAGCTTTAAGGAACCACCCCCTGTGATGTTCCCGCTGTCCCACTCACTGTGCTCGCACAGGGGCCCGTAGTGCCCCGCGGGGCAGCGGCAGGTCCCCGTCCCCGGGTCGCAGGTGCCGTTGTGCAGGCAGGGGCACCGGAGCTGGCAGTCGGCACCGAACCTTCCCGGCGGGCATTCTGCAGGGGAGAGGCAGAGCTGCTCAGCGGCCCCACACCTGCACCTCAGAGAGCCGAGATAAGGCACTGCAGGCACAGGTGGGATAACAGAAACTGGACCCAGTATGGAACAGACGGAGCAAGCTCCGCAGTTCCTGCTTGGTGCAGGGCCATGCACCCAGGTCAGGTGTACCTAATTCACAGGATTTCCCCATCCATCCAGGTGCACATGAACAGGAGCCGTCAGCTGCATCACAGAGGCCCCCGTTGTGGCAGGAGCAGGTCTGCTGGCAGCCCACCCCATACCGGTGCTTCTCACAGCCTGCGGGACAAGAGGCAGTGGTGGTGGGCACATGGACCACCAGCAGAGATCTCGGGGCAAGGCAATCAGTTCCCACTCAGGACCTTTCCCAACCCACTGCCTGCAGCACCTGCTTGTCCCGAGGCACGAGCCCTGATGGTTACCTTGCTCACAGGTGGGGCCAGCTCTGCCGGGGGGGCAGACACAGTCTCCGGTGACGGGGTCACAGGTAGCGCCGGCCCCGCAGGAGCACAGCCCCGCACAGTCCTGGCCGTAGCGGCCAGCGGGACATCCTGGAGGAGGAAATCCTTGGTCAGGACAGAGCAGGGCTGGGCACGTGGGAAGTGGGAGTGCTCCCAGCGCTCACCTCCCCCTGAGGAGGCTCCCACGCCTCCCATCCCTCCGGCTGAGCCGGCACTCACCGATGCCGCAGTCGGCGCCGATGTAGCCGGGCGGGCAGTGGCACATCCCAGTGGCAGTGTCACACCGGCCCCCGTTCTTGCACTGGCACGGCCTCTCACAGTCACGGCCATACCACCCAGGGGAGCACTCTGGGGGGAGAAGAAACAGCGGCCTCTGCATCTAAAAATACAGCTCAGGGTCCAGACATCCCAGGAAAATCCACCAGGTGTGTTTGTACAGCTGCTTCCCCAGAGAGGAGCAGAGAGCTCTGCTGGGAGCGGGTCTGTGCCAGGCTGGCACTGTCCTTGGAGTTCTGATCCACTGTCACACAGAGCTGCAGGAACTCACATGCATACATCACTCACAGCACTGGGATTTCAGGATGGGACACAGAGGGACTGAGCAGGACTCACCCAGCTGGCAGGTGGGGCCATGGAAGCCGGGGGCACAGACACAGGCACCGGTGACTGGGTGACATTCCTGGGTGGCTCCAGAACACTGGCAGATCTGAGCACAGCCCTCTCCAAAGGTTCCAGGCAGGCAGGCTGTTAGGAGAGGGGGCACAAAGGTGGTCAGGAGCTATCCCACCCCTCTGTGCAAGGCTTTTTTTTTTTTTTAGCCAGGATTTAGGGAGCCTTTTATGGCAGCAAAAGTTCTCTGCCACCCAAAAAGCAAAGGGACCCACATGCAAAAGCTTCCCTGACTCCAGGAAAGACTTGGATTGAAAGGAAAACCAAGTACTTAAAGGCATTAGATGCCGTTTTCTGTGCCAGCCCTACCTGCCCTCACATTTCTGCCAACTCCACACACGGGACACAGCAAATCCAACCCTGTCCTCTGGGTGAGGAATGTGCTCACATGCCTCTGTCTCTTCCAGACTTGCTCATACCCACAGGAGCTCATTTTAATACTGATTTATTGCTAATCCTCTGGATAAATACCCAGCTCTGATTTCCCACTTGGCTCCCTCTGCCCCGCTAACATTCCGCAGGCATGCACCCAGCTGCCAGACTGGGAGCTGCTCCTTGGCACAGCTCTCTCTCTTTTTCACCCCCTGTATTTTCTGTAGGAATTGCTTGACCCGTCACGTTCCCAGAGCCTGTCAGCAGAGCTGTGAGAGGATCCCTGCCATCTCCATACCCTTTTCGCATCCAGAGCCTGTCAGTCCCGCGGGGCAGCCGCACTGGCCGGTGACGTGGTGGCAGGGCACTCCCAGGGGACAGGTGCAGTGGCTGGCACAGTTCTTCCCAAAGGAACCTGGCAGGCAGGCTGTGGGAAAACAAACATGGGGATGTGAGCCTCCTGCATGGATCTGAAATTATGGTTAATGCCTGAAAGGCATCAGAGCCCCAGGGGCAGCTCCTGCCCCAGTGCTCGCCCACAGTGCCGAGCCAGCCCAGCAGCATCCCTTGTCACAGCCTCAAAATGTTTGCCACAATTTGTAATTCTCACTAAAAAT